AAAAAAAAAAAAAGAAGAAGAAAAGAATCGTATACATTGGGATGGTATTTTATGGCAGATAATATTAGTAGGATCCATCCTGATGTATTTATATCCATAGTAAATGTCACGTAACATGACTTTGATGTAACATTTTCTTACAGTTTACAAAGCTGGAACTAATTAGAAATAAGTTAGATGAGTTTAGGAGATTGGCGATAAACATTGTTAACAATGCCTGTCTTGGTGCTTTATTAAAGGCTGGATACACTCCCGATGATTCCAATATAACAATAGAGCAAACTGCGTACGGAAAACTTGGTAATGTGTTTTATGAGGATATTGTTCTCTATCTATCTAGAATTATCTGTTTTCTAATTTTATTTGACGTCGTGACAGGTGAGTTCGGCGCTGTTAAATTTAAAATGCCAGAAGACGGTATTCTCAAAATGAGTTACATCGAGCAGGCACGAAAGAGAGAGAAATGTTACAGGCTGTCTTGGTAAGTCGTTGTTTAAAAGTTTCCATCAATATCTCATCCTTGTTACGAGAGATGAATTTTTCTTTTTTTTCTTTGGCAACGAAGAAATATTTTATTATTCAGCTTTATTCATCTGATCGATTACATGCAAACGAACATGATGCACGTCCTTTTATTAAACACTTATCGAGAGCTCATACAACTCTTGAAGATCTACACGGGATTTTTGCCGGACGACGAATCAATAGACAACGACGTGATTGATCTTCCCTTGAAAGAAAATCGCCCGTCGTCGCATCGTATTCAGGTATAATATTTCTTTTATTGATTGCTTGTAACTGAAAAAGATTGTTTCTTATTTTCTTTTTCTTTTTTGTTTTAGCTACCATATTGGATTGTGGATTTGCTTATTTTACCGTCTTCAGAAATTGTAATGGACCCGTCTGAAAGTGTTTTCCTTTTCGTAATAAAAACTATAGAAATTATGTGGGAGGAGAACTTGTACGCTATTAAACCTCTGCTCTCGGATCCCTTTTTCCATTCTTTCACGAGGTAGACAAAGGGCGAAATAGTTTCTACAAAAGCGATTTCTGAAGTAATTTCTTGAGACTGTAAGATCTTACGTATTGTATGTTTATTCGAGGCCTATGATCAATCATAAAGTGGAAGAACGTATCTGTGGGCATCCGCCGGAAGTCCAGGAAATTTTGAAACAGGATCCGAGCACGCTAGCTTTCAAGACACAGCTGACGGAACTTCTCGAGAGGAACTTGAACGCCGTAAAACGTTACTGTCAACGATTCAACGCGATCAGACAGTTTTATCACGAAGACACGACATTCGACGAGAACATCATCCGGGACAATCGAGACGTTAAATTATTCCGAGAATGGAGCATTCGTTACAAGAAAGAAGTGGATCTGATTCACAAAGTGATCGATTGCCAGCCGTTTGGCCTCTTTTTTATTCAACTAGAACGATTCAAAAGCGCAGCTGAAACTGCCCCTAGAGGGAAATTAGGTGTCATTGAAGCTGTTATGCCTGGGTAAATGTATACAAGGTGGGAGGGTGATTCTACGTCAAAAAATAAGAAAAAAATTTTATAACATTTTTTTATCTGGGGCTCAGTTTTCGAGAAAATCGACTTGAAAGTTTGGTCATCTTTGCGAACAATTTGGCGATTGTCTCCGTCTGAGATAATGTTTAAAAACATTATTTATTTTTGGTTAAAGCAGTACAAAGCGTTCCTACTGATAATTAATTTTTTATTCCTTATTACTTCTCTCTATTGCAATACTACGATACAGTATACTATTACAAGCATTATTGAAAATGTCTTCCTCGTTGCTGCATACACAAGTTTGCTCGACGAATTAATGACATCTGAATGTAAGCTGATGTCGTTTTTTAATTTCTCGAATTCCTCCATAATCTTTTCCTTCAAATGTGTAATATTTGAGACATTGTTTTTATAAACTTGTTCTTTGATATGTCCCCATAAAAAAAAAAAAATCTGGAGACGCGAGGTCTGGAGAACTTGGTGGACAACGTACGAATACGTTTAAGTTAAAAAATTTTTAACCTCCCTGGTGTAACGTGGCGGTGCACTGTCATGTTGAAAAATCATACTCCTTATAGTAGCTAAGGTATATCTTCTAACAACGGCAATTCATTGCGTAGAAAATCAAAGATGAACAAACTTTAAAGTCGATTTTTTCAGGTGAAAAAATGTTATACCAAATTTTTTTCTTATTTTTTGATATAGAATCACTCCCTGCTCGGTTGTACTACGAATTCCAGCCCACCCTTTGTATAAAAAAAAAAAGGAGATGTATTTTTCCTGTCATTGTACAACGCGAGTTCTGATACATAAAGATTTCATTTTATTTAGACTAGGAAAAAGTCGAGTTGACGATTTATTAACGCAAGCGATCGACGCTATCAATTATCTGGAAACAGTCCCAGTGACAACTGAGGAATATGTTGCGTACATAAAGTTTGTAGATCAAGCTCAACAAAATGTAGACGAGATGGAGTCACAGCTGGATTACGTGAAAGAGTTGTACGACACGATGGAAGAATTCGCTTTTCCTATACCGTCGATGGATATGGCAAATTATCTGGTAACAGTTTGACCAACGATCTCGCAAATAGCGTAGTATCGGCGAAACGTATTTTTCTATTCACTGAAACAGGGTATTGGAAGTCATTTTACCAGTTTACGCTTGGTCGTGGAGAATCGATTGGAACAGCGGCCAAAGTTGATAAATAAATTCGACGCTCAACTCCAGAAGGACATCACGGCGCTGAACGAAGGGATATCGGAAATTTACGACGAAATAACGGTACGATGCATAGCCAAGCATATTTCTATCTCATCTCTATTTGATCATCATTTCATTATATGCGATATCGTGTGAACAGCAACCATGGTTATTGGATTATAAAAGCGACGTTGACGCTTGTTTGAACACGTTGAAAGAGCTCGCTAAACGATTAGCAGCGTGTGCTACTAAAGCGGAACAATATCGCGCTCATCAAAGGACATTTAAGGTACCGCCTCGAGTTGTGAAGTTTTCTTTTCCAATTCACCGCGACACGCAACCAGTAATCACAAATGTTTCACTTTCTTCGTTTCGAGAAGCTGGAGCAGACGAGATTCGATATTTTAGATCAGGTAACGAACGAACTGAGGTTACGTATTTTATTATGGGAAAGCTTGACTTCCTGGGAGAACGTTGTCTACGAGTGGTATGCCAGCGATTTCGATACATTGGACGTCGAGCAAATCACCGCGTTTACAATGGGCACCATGAAGAACATAATTCAGTTGGAGAGAGGCCTGCCGCCGAACAATATCTTGCCTGACTTGAAGGAGAGCGTCGAATTGATAAGAAACAAGTTGCCTGTTCTCGGTTACTTGAGAAATCCAGATTTAAAGGACAGACATTGGAAGACGATCGAGACTATATTGAACTATACCTTCGTACCCGAGGAAAAGAAGACTTGGACTCGGATGGAGGAGCTCGGTGCATTTTTAAAACCTACTGAACTGATGGAAGTCGCTGCCGCGGCCAGCTCTGAAGCTAACTTGGAAAACATGTTGAAGAAAGTCATAGACACATGGGAAAATCTCAAATTTGTTATCGTACCGTACAAAGAGGGGAAAGACGTTTTCATAATAGGCACCCTCGAGGAAATTCAGGTCGCAATGGACGAGAGCAACATTAATTTGCAGACTATCAGCGCATCTCGTCACGTTCGGTTCATTCGACCACTGGTCGAAGAGTGGGTCCAAAAATTGGATTTATTTACCGTTACTTTGGTACGAATGTTTCTCTTCAATTGTACCTCTTATAGAATTTTTAATTAACGTTTAATTATTTTTTATTTTTATTTATTTCATTTATTTTGATCTTTTTTATTTTATTTAATATTTATATTTAATATTTCATTTTATTTTTATTTTTACTTATTTAATTTACTTTAATTTTTTTTAATTTTATTTTTACCTATTTAATTTACTGTAATTCTTTTTATTTTATTCAATATTTATATTTAATATTTTATTTTATTTTTATTTTTACTTATTTAATTTACTTTAATTTTTTTTTATTTTATTCAATATTTATATTTAATATTTTATTTTATTATTATATTTTATAATATTTTAATATATTATATTTGCTGTAGGAAGAGTGGCAATATTTGCAGCAGCAATGGTTGTATCTCGAGGCGATATTTTCAGCACCGGATATTCAGCGACAGTTACCAATGGAAGCAAAACTCTTTATCGAGGTCGACAAGTTTTGGAAAGACCTTATGAGACGTACTTACAAGGTTTGCAAAATATTCGACTGATAACACTCGACTCTATTCAACGTCAAATAATTTCTAGGCGCCTTTGGCTATGCACGCGTGTACACAACCAGGGTTATTAGAGCAACTACAAGAGAACAATCGAATGTTGGACGAGGTAATGAAATGTTTGGAGGCGTATCTCGAGACGAAACGAATAGCGTTCCCCAGATTCTTTTTCCTATCCAACGACGAGCTTTTAGAAATTTTGGCTCAGGTACCGATTAAACGAGAGAAATTTACAGTCAAAAGTAACTAACCGAAATTACAAGCTTTATGTTGAAATGCTTACTAAAACACCAACTCTCGCGCCAAACAGACCAAAAATCCACACGCGGTACAGAGACATTTGCAGAAGTGCTTCGATGCAATATGCAGATTGGAATTTGCAATGAAAGAAACCGAAACTGGCGAACTCGTGCTAACGACAGATATCATTGCCATGATTTCACCGGAAGGTGAGAAAGTTCCGCTTGGGAAAGGTTTGAGAGCCAGGGGTAACGTCGAAGATTGGTTAGGTCGAGTCGAAGAGGCTATGTTTTCAACGTTAAGGAGAAGAATGAAAGATGGAATTAAAGACTTGGCTGAGAAAGGACGGAAACAATTTCTGTATATGCATCCTTCTCAGGTTATATGCTTTGTTACTAGTATCTTTTAACCTCTTGCGCTAGTAACTGGTTCACGGACCGTAACGAGTGACCAAACCGTATATACAATAATTCGCCTTCTTTTTGAGTTCATCGGTATATCACTGGATAGAAATTACTAAGTAGTAATAAATTTATTATTTGTTTTGCCTGGATTATATTTCAATATACCTACTGAGAAAATCATTGCAATTTTCGGCCAAATATTCTCGACGTTCCAGCGCAAGAGGTTAAAACAGAACTTTGTTTGAAGTTTCGAAGTATCTTTTACAATAAAATCTTCTTACAAATGAAATTAAAGTAAATAAAATATAGCTAATAAAATCATGTGTTTGTTTTTCCTTACTTTTCCCAGATAGTCCTCGCTGTATGCCAAATATTTTGGACTCGAAATATTCACATTATCCTAGATTCCCCTGAGAATGTGATCGAAAAGATGAAAGCATTTGAACAAAAGTGTTTCGCGGTATTTCAGTATATCTACGCTTTTTCGTACAATTTCTATTAAACATTTTGTTAACTATTAGTTATCATTTTTACTGTACAGGATTTGAATGAACTAGCGATGCTGGTGAGAGAAGAATTGCCAAAATTGATACGTGATGTCATAATCAATTTGATAACAATAGATGTGCATGCCAGAGACATTGTTACAACTTTGGTTGAAAATAGAGTAACTTCAAGGTAACGATTCAAATACAACAATTGTTTTCAATTAAAAAAAAAACCACATGTACAACTGAACAATCTTTCAAAAATTAATTACTTACCTTGTAGTATAAGCTTTGATTGGGTAAAAACGTTACGTTATTATTGGGATGAAGAACTTGATAATTGTCTAACACGTATGAGTAATTCCAAATATCTTTACGGGTACGAGTATCTCGGTGCTCAGAAGAGGCTCGTCATAACACCTCTGACAGATAAATGTTACTTGTGCCTTATGGGAGCTCTTCAGTTAGACTTAGGTGATCAATTAGATTTATTAATGCGAATGTTAAAATAAAAAAAAACGGTATTACGTTTTTGAAAAAAAAGGATTTAAATGAAGCGAATAATATTCAGAAATGTTGTATTAAATAGGTGGTGCTCCTGCGGGACCTGCAGGTACTGGAAAAACGGAGACGACAAAGGATTTAGCCAAAGCGGTCGCTGTTCAATGCGTTGTATTTAATTGTTCAGAAGGGCTTGATTATAGGGTGCGTCAGATATTATCCATCGATTTTTTTCGTTCCTGACAATTGCACGTAAAAAGTCGAAAGAAAAGTTTGTCCGTGGCTATTATAGAATTCTACACCTTGAATTTCAAGGTCAACATTTTTTCTTCTGCATTGTATTTTTCTCGTCACGAAGGAACTTCTCTTTTCAAGGAACCATAGGTTGCAACCTGATAGTTCTTTTTAAAAATGGTAAAAACTTTTCTCAATCATTTAATATTGGGGATTCGTGCATGCTAACAGCGACTTTATGGTTCTAGATGTAGTGGATGTTTATATTTTATTTGATTATTTAGATCACACTGATGCTACTATGATAAATCAAATGTTAGTGAAATATAAAATATGAGTATTAAAATAAACATTCACGTGTCCAGAACCATAAAGTCGCTGTTAGTCCTCAGTGTTAAATTATTAAGTCGCTGTTTTGCCATTTTTCAAAAGGACTGTTAGTTTGCGACCTATGGTTCCTTGGAAAAGTTTTATCTTCGTAATGAATAGGACCTTAGAGTTTAAGGTCAAGATCAACTTTGCAACAAGATCAACTTTACATCAAACCAAGAAGGTGTAGAATTCATCTATGACAGCCACCCTACATTAAATAATTAAAATGAAGAGACTGTGCTTCACAGATGATGGGCAGATTCTTTTCCGGCTTGGCAACTTCCGGTGCCTGGTGCTGTTTCGACGAATTTAACAGGATAGATATCGAAGTACTTTCCGTAATAGCTCAGCAACTAATTACCATCAGGAATGCCAAGATTGCCAGAGCTACTGAGTAAGCTACCATCGTTTTATAACGCTTAACTTCAATCCGTGATGTTTCACCTTTTATCTTTCAGATTCATGTTCGAAGGACGAATGATCAAATTAGTGATGTCTTGCGCAACTTTCATCACTATGAATCCAGGATATGCCGGCCGCACGGTATTACCAGACAATTTAAAGGCGCTGTTTCGACCGATGTCGATGATGGTTCCAGACTATAGTACGTTTTACAAACTTCTGTTGAATTAGAAAATACTTTTAAATGAATGTCTCCCCGCAGAACTTATTGCCGAGGTTACACTATATTCGGAAGGATTCGAGTCGTCCAAACCGTTGTCGCAGAAAATGACGTTAATGTACACACTCTGCAGCGAACAACTTTCCCAACAGGATCATTATGACTTTGGAATGAGGTATTACCTGTATTACTCTTGTTGTATCTTGTTTGGTGTCAACTATTAATCGACGGAGTTGAAATACCTTCTCGTTTTTAAAGGGCTGTGAAAAGCGTATTGGTAATGGCAGGTAGCCTTAAACGAAATAATCCTGACAAACCAGAGGATGTTGTTTTGATCAGAGCCCTGCGCGAGAGCAATATACCAAAGTTTTTACGCGACGACGCTGAATTGTTCGAAGGTATCGTGGGAGATCTCTTTCCAGGCATCGATATTACTGAAGAAGACTATGGTATTTTAAGGGACACAGCTATTGAAGTAATTAACAGTGTTCAATGTATTTTTTTCCAATTGTCTTGACATTTATCTATTATACTCGCTTCTTAGAATATAACGAGTAATATAGTAAGTAATATAACTGACTGATGTAAGTTGTATAATTTTTTATAGATACTGAAAGAAGCCAAATTACAGCCAGAAAGTTGCATCTTAAGGAAAGTGACCCAACTGCACGAATGTTTGCAAGTGAGACACGGAGTGATGTTAGTTGGACCGACTGGTTCAGGAAAAACGACAGTTCTTCAAGTAAGTCTAGTGGCACTTTATTTATTTATTTATTATTTTGTCAAAATATGTATTTTTTGGATAAACACGAAAATTGTATATTTCTTCTTTCAGACTCTCGCAAACACTTACAATCGACTGCGTGAAATGGCTATAGCAGGACCATGTTATCAGTCAGTTCACATGTATGTAATCAATCCGAAGGCAGTTACTATTGGTGAATTGTACGGAAAAGTAGATATAATGACAAACGAATGGCGTGACGGATTGATCGGTTCTACAGTTCGTCACGCATGTTCTGTTAGTAAGATGTTGCCTTGCTTCAAAGAATTTTTATATTTTTACAGAAACTTCTCTCTCACGTCAGTTTTATTTTCATTGTTTAGTTCACCACGGAGGACCATCAATGGATCGTCTGCGACGGACCGGTCGACGCTGTGTGGATAGAAAATATGAACACTGTTTTAGACGACAATAAAATGTTGTGCCTGGCTAACTCCGAAAGAATTAAATTCACCCCTTACATGCGCATGTTATTCGAAGTTATGGATCTTGTTCAAGCGTCGCCCGCTACCGTCAGTCGCTGTGGTTCGAAAAACAACGTTATTCACTTAATTATTCACTTAATTATTCACTTAATTATTTACGTACTCTCCGAGTTTCTATGCATCTATTTAGTTTGTTTGTCACTTTTCAAGGAATGGTGTACGTCGATCCTACGGAGTTAAAGTGGATGCCTTATGTGAAATCGTGGCTGAACACGCTTCCCGATACCGTTAGAAACGAGCATCGGTCACAGATTGCTGAACTTTTTGAGAAATATTTCGAAGACGGGCTAATCTTCTGCAGCAAGAACTGTGTCTCTCCAATCGCACAGGTACACCATTTGCGTAGAAATTGAGTACAATTTCTCCAACATTGTCGTTCAACAGGTTGACATTAGTAAAGCATCTATGACTTGTGCGATATTGGAATATATCTTAAATGAACCAGACGCGATAGAGAAAACTACGGAAAAGGCGCGAATTAGAACATTCTTAGCTCAGTCGTTCGTTTTCGCCTTTCTCTGGTCCATTGGTGGTAACGTCGACGACGCGTCTCGGAGTGTGTTCGAGACTTTCGCGAGGCAGCAATTCGAAGACAACGAAGATGCGTTGTATGATCTTCAGATGTATTCTCTTATCTCTGTATCTCTGGTGTCTACGTTAATTGTACCATTCTATTCTTCTGATCTCCAGTTTGCCACCGACAAATTTATGGGAGCTGTACGTAAACGTTCAAGACCATCGACTGGATTATTGGACAGACATTATGCCGAAATTTGTATACGACAGCGAGATGCCATTTTTCGACATCCTCGTGCCAACCATCGACACTGTACGGTTTGGTTATCTAACGAAGAAGTTACTCGAGATAAATAAACCGGTGTTCCTTACTGGAGATACTGGTTAGCGATTGATTCATCCTTTCAGCAATTTGAGCTCGTGCCTTCGATCGAGGAGAATATATTTTTTAGGAGTCGGCAAATCGGTGATAACGAAGGTTGTTTTAAACAACTTGGAAGACAGTCAACTCTGGGCGCCGATCAATCTAATATTCTCCGCTCAGACAAGCAGCGGCAGGACGCAGGAAATTTTGGAACTTAAATTGGAACGGAGGAAAAGAACCGTGTTGGGGGCACCTATTGGGAAACGGGTGTGCGTGTTTGTCGACGACGTCAATATGCCGAAATTAGACACATACGGGTCCCAACCGCCGATCGAACTTTTGCGGTACTTTATATCACGTTTTACGTTTCAAACCAATGCCGACGCATTTTTTTTTTTAATAGAATTGTTCGCACGTGAATCTGTGCAGACAATTACTAGATTTCCACGGCATGTACGACAAAGAGAAGTTGTTCTGGAAACATGTAGAAGACGTTGTCTTCACTGTGGCGTGCGCTCCACCCGGAGGCGGTAGAAACCCATTAACACCGAGATTCGTGAGGCATTTCGCAATGCTGCTCATCCCACCTCCTACGGAACTCTCGTTGAAGCGAATTTTCAAGTAAACGGCCTTTCATCTCCGCGAATTATATACCTTTATGTTATGTTTACAAAACCGATTCACGACAAAATGCAATTTGCATTTGTAATTTCAGGGCAATTACAAGCGGATTTCTGGAAGATTTTGTGGAATCTGTCAGACAAGTCGGCGACAGAATAGTGAACGCGGCAGTGGATGTTTATCAAAGGATCACGACTGATCTTCTGCCCACGCCAGAGAAAAGTCATTATATCTTTAATCTGCGCGATTTATCGAAATGCGTGCAAGGTATCATGCAAGTTGACGCGTCGGGCATTAAGCAACCTGGCGAAATGTACAGGTATACTCGACGCCTGTGCTGCGATAACTATGACGATTGTTACAAATTTTCTGTAAAAGAAAAACGTTCGTATTCTCGTAGGCTTTTTTACCACGAATCTCTTCGAGTTTTTCACGATCGATTGATCAACGTTCAGGACAAGAGCTACTTTTATAGACTTCTGAACGACATATGTATGAACACGTTCGGCGTGCAAGTGATGCGGCTACCGGACGAGGAGATCATCGAAAAACCACCGGTGCTGTTGTTCGGCGATTTCATGTCCTTCGGGGCAGCGAGAGAGCAACGAATTTACGAGGAACTTACGGACATTTCGAAAGTTAGAAGAACCTTGGAGGTAATCGCTGCTAATGCCAATTTGACCTTTCTGATCTGTATCTTTAATATATAGGAATTTAGTTTTAAAAATCCCTCGAGGGATGTGTATAATCACCTCGTCGTGTGAAATGAAAAATTGCCATTCATTTTTAAAAAACTCCAAATTTCAATAAGAAGCAATAAGAATGTCATTTGGTGGTATGTTTTCTTTGTATTAACTGCTATGTATTTTATAAAAAAAGAAAAGAAAGATTATTCTCCTTGGTAAAGTATAGGAAACAATTCGGAGAATACCAGATGCATTGATTTTGGGAAAATAATCAACTCAACTTTGTAAAAAGTGATGCACAAGGAATATCCAATATAAGAGAATAATCAATCTGTTTTTTTTTTTATAAAATACATAACAGTTTTATCGGTAATAAATAAAATATATAATACTATAATATATAATACTATATACTATAAATATATATATAATAATTATATAAACATTATAAACATTATATAATACTATATACTATAAATTATATATATAATAATTATATAAACATTATAATAATTATATAAATATATAATACTATATACTATATAAAAAAAAACATACCACCAAATGACATTTTTGTTACCTCTTATTGAAATTTGGACCTTTTTTAAAATAAATGGCAATTTTTTATTTTACAAACTTTTGGACTGACTTGTATACGCGTCGAACGCAATTAACGAGTAATCGTATCGCAGGATTACTTAGAAGATTATCAGTTCTCTGTCGGCAAGGACATGAGAATCATATTTTTCATGGACGCCATAGAACACGTTTGCAGGCTTGCGAGGATCCTCCGTTCCGAAAGAGGCAATGGTCTTTTAATCGGTGTCGGTGGAATGGGAAAGCAAAGCTTGACAAGACTGGCGTCTCACTTAAATAGTTACAAGTCTGCATCGACACTAGTCATTTAATTACACAAATTATATCTCCTTCGAGGCAATGAGTCTACTAATCAGTCTGTCAAAACTGTCAAGATGTTATCAGATAGAAGTTACTCGCACGTACGATAAAAACTCGTGGCACGAAGACCTTCGACGATTTTACTTCGAACCGGGCACCGAGGCGAAGCACACGACCTTCTTGTTCACCGATACTCAGATTGTGCTAGAAGAATTTCTAGAAGACATCAATAATACACTTAACACAGGTAGCTTCGATGCTCGCTTTGACATGCGATCATGCTCGAATGACAGGCGTCATCTTTTTTTTCAGGGGAGGTGCCAAATTTATACGAAACAGACGAACTTGAGAAAGTTATCATAGCTACCAGGCCCGCAGCGAAACAAGCAGGTATTCAAGAAGCAAACAGAGACGGAATTTACCAATATTTCATTGGAAGGGTCAGAGATCATCTTCACTTAATGATTTGCATGAGTCCTATAGGCGACACTTTTAGGTCAGTTTTCTTTATACTATCAGTTGATTGTTGTACTCTCTTTATTAAAGGTCTTTATTGTTTTCATAGACATCGTTGCCGTATGTTTCCTTCATTAGTAAACTGCTGCACCATTGATTGGTTCACAAAGTGGCCAAACGATGCCCTTTTGTCAGTAGCGGAAAGTTCGTTGATTACAATCGCTCCGAAGGATTCGACGCAGCTTGCCAGCCTCAGTAATATTTGCGTACTGATTCACGCGGTATCGTTTTGTCATTATAATAATACATCTCATTCGCCACGAAATAACACTCAAGTACACATCGAATTTGAAAGGAAATCGTGTGAAAATTACAGAGCGTAGAAGAGATGACAACCCGATTCTTCGTGGAAATGCGACGAAGGTATTATACCACGCCGAGCAGTTATTTGGAGCTTTTGAAGCTATTTCAAACAACTCTAGAGAAAAAGAGAAAGGAGATAGAGTTATTGAAAAGTAAAATTGCCAATGGGCTTAATGTAAATATCGCATCATCATCTCACGTGTATTTACTATTTGAAAGAATTATGTATAACTTGTTGATAACGAATTTGTTGGACAGAGACTACGAGAAACTAACGAGATGGTCGGCGTGATGAAAGAACAGTTGACAATTCTTGCGCCTAAACTCAAAGCAAGCACCGAGGAGGTGTTGACACTGGTAAAAATCCTTGCGAAGCAACAAGTCGAATGTGACAAAGTGAAGTATGTCGTAACAGCCGAGCAAGCAACAGCAAAAGTAAGGAATGACAAACAATAACTGTAAGAGGTGATTGTTTGTTAAATGATCTATTGTTCATCTAGTGTACAATTTTATCTTCGTCAGGCGAAAGCAGAGGAAATGGCGATTTTAGAAGCTGACGCCAGGGAAGATTTGGAGGCAGTGATGCCAGCTTTATTGGAAGCTCAGAGAGCATTGGAAGCTTTAAATAAAGCTGATATCAACGAGATTCGTGTGTTTCACAAACCACCTCATTTAGTGCGTTTCGTTATGGAAGCGGTGAATTTGCTACTGGGTGAAAAGTGAGCTTTTCACAGGATTTTCTTCAAAGTGAAGAACCTCACACCACTGTCTTACGTTTACGTTTTCAGGACAGATTGGGCGAGTGCCAAGTTAGTCCTGGGCGATATACATTTCCTTAATCGTTTAATGACTTATCCCAAAGACGACATAAGCGACAAACTTTTAGAAAAGTTGCAGGAATACATCGAACATCCAGAATTTCAACCACACTTAGTAGCTAAGCAAAGTAAAGCTTGTAAGTCGCTGTGCATCTGGGTAAGAGCAATGGACGGATATGCTAAAATCTATAGAGTAGTCGAGCCAAAGCGACAAAAGTAAATTGAACAAATGCGAGGATAGGTATTTTCCTCAACGTACGAAAACACAGGGAACTTTAACGACGATTCATTAATAAACAGATTATACAAAGCTGAAGAAGAGTTGCGAGCGATAGAGAAAGTTCTTGCTCTGAAGCAGAAAGAACTCGTCGCGGTGGAGAATAAAATCAAGGAATTGCAACAAGAATACGACGCGGCAGTGAAGAATTTGAACAAATTAGAAGCCGAGATGCAACTGGCAGAAACGAGATTGAACAGATCTGGACGATTGACGTCCGCGTTGGTGGATGAACGAGTTCGATGGGAAGAATTAATGCGCGTATGACAAAAAAAAAAAAGAAAGCTAAATTCAAGAAACACAGATATATAAATGAATTATTATCAATTTCTTTTTCACGTTGCAAACGTATATTCAGGGCTTTGACAAGCAAATTGTCAACTTGACTGGTGATACTTTGATAGCTGCCGGAGCCCTTGCTTATCTGGGTGCTTTCACAAATGAGTACAGAGAGGAATTGATACAAACTTGGTTGTCCAGCTGCAAAAGCCACGATGTTAAAACTACCGAGAACTATAGTCTCATTACAATACTGGTCAGCGCTTATGAAATTCGTCTTTGGAATACATATGGTTTGCCCCGAGATAAAGTCAGCACGGAAAATGCGATCTTTGTGACACAAGCTAGCCGTTGGCCTTTGATGATTGATCCTCAGGAGCAAGTAATTATCCTTAGTATGGTATGTAAAATTAATGGAGTTTTACTAGCAATATTCTACTTCCATTCAAGGCGAACAGATGGATACGTAACATGGAACAAGATAACAATCTAAAAGTGTGCAAACTGACTGATGCAAATTTAATGCGGGTAGTGGAGGCGGCCATAAGGCTTGGGACACCTGTATTAATTCAAGAAGTAGGAGAGGTATTGGATCCAAGTTTGGAGCCCATCTTGCTTAAACAAATTTTTGTCCTAGTAAGTGTAATATGGTTCTATAGTTCATATATTATACTATGTATACTATATATAATATATAGTATTATGTATTAACTTTTAGTATAAGTATTAGTATTATACTAATTTAATACTTATAGTATAATACACATACTATTAATATAGTATAGTTAACATTATACTTAATAAACATACTATTAGTATATATATATATACTAATATATATAGTTCATAGAGTTAAAGTGATACTTGTGAGGCAACAAATAATATCATTCTTTCACAACTATTTAGGGTGGCAGAACATTAATACGATTTGTCGACACAGACGTAGAGTACGATAGTAATTTTAAGTTATACATCACGACAAAAATCTCGAATCCTCATTATTTGCCAGAAGTCTGTATTAAAGTGACGATAGTTAATTTTACTGTGACTATGGGAGGCCTCGAAGAACAATTACTCGCGTATGTACATTAAGATACACATTCAGTTTTAAAATTCTCCGTCTTCAAAATTCATAACTTTGAGCTTTATTTAGAGATGTCGTGCGTCTCGAGAGGCCCGACTTGGAAACGATGAGAAACGATTTAATAATAAAAATCAACATGGACAAAGGTCAATTACAAAGCATCGAGGACAGGATACTGACATTGTTATACGGGGCAGGCGACGATATTTTAGACAACGAAGAGCTGATAGAAACGTTGAACGACAGCAAAGAAACTTCTGCGATCATTGCGACGAGATTAATCGAAAGCGAGGCAACCGAAAGGAAGATATCAATTGCACGCGAGAAATACCAATCTGTCGCGAATCGCGGATCAGTTTTGTATTTCGTAGTTGCGGACCTCGCTCACATAGATCCCATGTACCAATTTTCATTGAAGTACTTCAGTCAGGTAAATAATTACACGACGAACGATTTTATGTTTCCGAGTTTGCAAACATACTTATTTAACGTAATATTCTTTGATATTTTATTAGATATTCGACACGGTAATCGAAACCACCAGAAAAGAAGATAACTTGCAACAACGTTTGCAAACGTTGTTAAGAGAGATAACATTGGCCATCTACACAAATGTTTCACGAGGTCTGTTTGAAAAGCACAAATTGGTATTTAGCGTGATGCTCAATATTGCAATACATATACACGGGGACATCGTGTCACAGGCACAGTGGAATTTTATGCTGCGAGGTCCTACGCAAATTGTCGTGGTAGGTCACGTGCTCCTCGAATTAATCACGACTGATACTTTCCAATTGATTTTACGAATATCTCATATAGGAAGACATACCAAATTATCCAACTCTGACGCCTAAAATGTGGGCCTCGGTCAATTATTTAGCTAACACGTTCAAAAAATTTGAAAATGTCTTGGACGATGCATTGAAAAGGATTCCGTTAGCCCTTGGATATTTTACGGAAGTAATACAATTTTTAAACACTTTTATCTTCTTTTCAATCAAGAATACAGCTTCACGATTTCTTTTTAGGAAATTAATGTACTCCCTACCAATACAGACGCCGCTACCCAAGACTGGGATAGGATATTAACTGACATTGAAAAATTAATGTTGCTGAAAGCACTGAAAGAGGAGAAATTAATTTTTGCAATCACAGCCTACGTGTCGAACAACTTAGGGCCAAAATTCATAGAATCACCTATGGCGACGTTACAACTTTTGTACGTAAGAAGAAGTTGTACAGGGTGGAAAGAAAATAATAGATGAATTCTACACTGATTTGATGGAAATACATATAAAGTAAAATTGACTTTTATTTTGAATTTCAAGGTCAAAAAAATTTTTGTTTTTTGTTTTGTATTGTATTCTATTCATCACGAAAACTTTACCAAAGTCGCAACCTAACAATTCTTTTTAAAAAGTTTCTTAATCATTCAACACTGCAGACGCGTGCGTGCTAACAGCGACTTTATGGTTCTAGACACATGGATATCTATTTTATGTAATTTTCGTATTAGATTTCACTACTATTTGATTTATCATAGTTGTAACATAAGTGCGAGTCTATATAATCAAATAATAAAACCAACTGTTAACATTATTCGAAAATATAAACATTACGTAATGTAGACACCCACGTGTCCATAACCATAAAGTCGCTGTTAGCACGCACACGTCCGCAGTGTTAAACGATTAAGAAACCTTTTTGCCATTTTTCAAGAGAACCTATTAAGTTGCGACCTATAGTTCCTTGGAAAGGTTTCACTTTCATGAGAAAAATACAAGAAAAAAAATTTGACCTTGAAATTCAAAGTCAATTTTGCAGCAGGTTCTAGCATTCATCTATGATAACTACGGACAAACTTTTCTTTCCACTCTGTATATTTCAAGTCGAATTACTTTGAAATTAAATTTTCTATTGAATATTTTTAGGTATGCAGACACATCAAATAAAATACCATTGATATTCATACTTACAACTGGATCGGATCCTTTCAGTGCTTTTCAGAAATTTGCACACGATATGGGTTTTGCCAATAGATACGACTCCATTTCTTTAGGTCAAGGCCAAGGTCCCGTTGCAGAAGGGCATTTACGCACAGGTATCATCGAAGGTAGATGGGTGTTCTTACAGAATTGTCATCTGGCTGTGTCGTGGATGATCATCTTGGAGCAGCTTGTAATAGAAATTGCCGAGGAACCGGAGGGTATCATTCACAATGATTTTCGATTATTTTTGAGCTCGATGCCGAGCGCCGCTTTTCCAGTGTCCGTTCTTCAAAATTCTGTAAAAGTTACGAACGAACCACCAAAAGGGTTAAAAGGCAACATCAAAAGGGCGTTGCATGATTTGGACGAGGAATATTTTGAACATCACCGTAAGAAAGAGTTATCAGTATCAACGACCGAAACGCAAGTTATTCAAATCTAACAAGTTTGAAATTTTTTCCTTCAAGACTTGGGCGAAAGCTGGCGCCGACTTATATTCGGCATTTGCTTTTTCCATGCTATTATTCAGGAACGAAAGAAGTTCGGACCTTTAGGATGGAATATTCTATATGAATTCAACGACAGCGACCGGGAATGCTGTTTGTTAAATTTGAAATTATTTTGTACGCATGATCATATACCTTGGAACGCGTTAATATATACCACAGGTTCATAAATTTTTATTCGAGTCATTTAAATCTTTTTCCTTAAAAAGAGCTAAACACTTTCATTGTATTCATTTTAGGTGAAATTACTTACGGAGGTAGAGTTACAGATAGTTGGGACTTGAGGTGTATGAAAACAATCTTAGCTATTTTCTTTTCTCCTAAATCTTTGGACATCAGTAAATAATTTCAAAATAAATTGTACAATACAAATTACAAATAATTTCAAATTATAAATAATTATAGAATATGTTTATTCGCCATCCGGAAAATATTACTGTCCTGTTTACAATACTCTAGAAGAGTATGAAGATTTTATGGAGACTTTTTCTATAATTGATGACCCAGAAATTTTTGGAATGCATGAAAATGCAAACATTGTTTATCAGGTAATCAGAGTTAGCGAAACGGAATCGGGAGAGACTATATCCTCATAATAACTTGGAATATTTGTAAAAATTATATTAGTTAAAAGAAGCACAATTCGCATTAAATACTATTTTGGAAATACAACCGCAAGAATCTGTCACTGATCAAGATAAATCTAGTTCAGATATAGCATATGAAGTTGCTGATATGATAAAGGATAGAATTCAATTTAAGATAGATATTGCAAAATGTAACAAAGAGCACTTGAAAGTAATTAACAATGCTTACTTCATACTACTGTTGATTATAAAGCAACTATCATTATAAAACTTTTATAGAGAGATTCAATGGGAAGACTTCCATCATTAAGTACTGTCCTCGTTCACGAAGTTGACAGATATAACATACTTCTAAAAAAGATACATACATCAATAGAAAATTTACAGCGTGCCATCAAAGGTTTTGTTGTTATGTCTGAGGAACTAGAAAACATCTTTATGGCATTTGTCAACAACCAGGTTTTGCTATCAATTTTTTTTAACAAAGTATACATAAATTATAAGCTTTTATCAAAAACTATTTCTAATTAATAAAATATTTTTAAGCTATTTTTATAAATTTCTCATAATACTATACTAACATAGGTACCAGAGATGTGGCATAATGTAAATGTCTATCCATCATTGAAGACCTTAGGAAGTTGGATAAGGAACTTAGAACTGAGGATTGACTTCATTGAAGTAAAAAAAATGAAAAACATAAAAAAATAACTAGTTTAGTAAGTATCATGCATTTACAGATTTGGTTAATTGACAAAAAACCTATTTCTTTTTGGATTTCGGGCTTATCCTTTCCACAAGGATTTTTAACTGGCATATTACAAACATGTGCAAGAAAATACAACATTCCTATAGATCATCTAAAATTTGATTTCATTGCCACCAAAGTTGTACTTGATCAAGAAGACATTGAAATAGAGCATAAAAAGGCTGAAAAAGAGGTCTAATCATTATAAATATTTTACAGCACCTAAAACTTACATAACAAAAGAATATCTCCTTTATGCAATTAATGTAATATCTTAGGTAATAGAGGTATATAAAAACTTACAAGTGCCAGAGGATGGAGTTTTAATACATGGGTTATTTATTGATGCTGGAAGATGGGATTTCAAATCCATGTGTTTAGTAGATGCAAATATAGGTAAAGTGTTAATTTTATAAAATACTTAAATAATAATATTGCTGGTGAAAAGCAAATAAATTATCGATTTTAGGAGAAATGCACCCATCTCTTCCAGTTTTACATATACATCCGGTATTAGAATTACCAAAAAATGAGTTAGAAAGATATGTTTGCCCTTTGTACAGAACAGCAGTTCGAGCAGGTGTATTATCTACAACTGGACATAGTACTAATTTTGTTGTTGCAGTTCTACTTCCATCTAAAAAAGAACAATCATACTGGATTTTACAAGGAACAGCTCTTTTGATTGAAATTGTAAATTAAAGTTCGCTATAGCTAATTAATAAGTTACATATAGTAATTAAGAAGAATATATTTATGTTACATACATATTTTACAATACAAAACTTTTGATAAACTGCTTTTAGTAAAGCAAATGTTAGTACACTTGAGTACATAACTTAATTGTAATGCTAATAAAGTAAACTAATATGTATAAGTGAGGATCAGAATAATTCTCTTTGCTTTCTCTTCACAAGATTCTCGTGATAATTGTAATCTTCTTTGTCAATAGTCCACATTAAGGTCATGTAAACTGTGAGTATCAAAGCCAATAATAATCTGTCTAATCTATAAGATATTAAAATCAAGTTATTTATTTGTTTCACACAATTTGAATATTATAACATTAATATTTGAAATGTCCCTTACGTCATATAAGGATATATCCATAAAATAATAAGAAATCCTGTAAAACTTGGATGTCTCATATGCGAGTAGTAACGTAACAGTTCTTTTGACTTCATTAGCATAGGGCTTGGTCTAAATGAGAATTTATAATATACTTGTTTTATTCCAGCTAACTCAGATATATCCATCATCAAACATCCGCTATAAATTATCGACCAAGCCAACACATGAAATGCAGTGAATGTATACCATAAAACATTATTATGAGAAGTATTAATTTTCCATAATGCAACAGATGAAATAGTTTGCCAATTGGTAAACAATAAATGAAGCGTCATAGCACTGGTAACATTATAAATACTTCTTTCTATATAGTCTACATGTAACTTGCAAAATAAATGTTTCACGAAATTACTAGCCATAAGCGAGTGTTGTAACATAAAAATACTCAATAGAGACATGTTTATTATTAGCATCCATATTACTGAATCAGTATCTTCATCTGTAATATAAATATGAATTACAAACGTAACTTGTTATAGATTTCAGTTTTAATAATTTTACTATCACTATTGCTACTATCATTATTTACCTTTTTCTGGTACAGTAATCACTCCTTTGTTTTCATTATGACTTGACAAAAAGTATGTCAAATTACACAAAATATAAAATGTATATGAAAAACAACTGATGCAGACGACTGCACTAACAAATTTTATGAACATTTTTGTAGATAAACAAACATCACTTGAGTCAAAATAATAAATAATTGCGCTACATCGTAATCATTATGAACATAGTGAATGCACACGAACGTAATCCGCCAATAATACTTTAATCGAAATTTGCACTTTTTTTTGCAGACATTAAAAACTATGTATTTAAAGAATTCTTAAATATCATTAAATTCATATGAACTAGATACGAATCTTCGCTCGAACCATCAAAGAGACACCTGGATTTTCTTCTGGCGCGAATTCGTATTATTTCAAAATGTTTGTTGCATTGGTATCCCATTATAATGTGCACGGAATACAATAAATAAATTAAACAACTCTGTTGTTATTTCGTACGACAGGACGATGTAATTCTCAAGTAGCTTCTGGTCGTTTCATTTTCGTTGACGCACCGTAAGTTCCAACGTCGATGTAACGTAAAGTTTCAGGGCAACGCCTGTCGGGATGAATTGTCATCAATGACCGTGTGGTGTTTCGTATTATCTGTTTCATCGGCTTGGAATGCAACTCTCCGTAAAAAGGAGAGGTCAGGTTAACTTTCAATCTTGCGGCTTAGAGATTTGCACCCCAGCCAGCTGGCTCTTAAGAAAAGTTGGATGGTATTTGTCAGTATCTAACTTGTAAGTATCCAAAGTGTATGACTCGTATATAAGCACTGTGCGAAGAAAGTACCCAAAATACATACATACGTAGATATTTTACAATTTTGCAACAGTAGCGTTATTGCAATAAGTATATTTGAAATTTCGTACTTCATCATTGCGTCCAACGTCAATAAATATTACATACACACTATGCAATTGTAATTACTTGATATTATTATAACTACATGTTATTTATATTTGCAAAATTAATAAACAAGACAGGTAACGCTAGTTTTTTTAAGTATTCGGAACTTTTGTACGTTCAATTTGAATTTCATTGCCTGTATTATTCAAATATTTTTATACTTATTACCAATTTATAACATTATACAGAGAAGAAGAGAGAAAATCTGATTATTAATGTTGCTTAAAGATAAAGTATATTTTATTGAATAAACGAAGTGCAATACCATTTGAAAACAGAGGAATTGTTCAGAAATAAATATGTAGTAACTTACTGTATTTTTACAGCTGGTCCAAGATGTCAAATCCTGCTGAACGTTTGAACTATGTTCAAGATAGTAGCAGTGATACTGAAACAGACAAAGAGACAGGTGGCAGGGGTCGGCATCGTATTTACAAGAATAGAATGAGGTACTATGTAAAAGATATAAGTATAATGTTACAAGTATAATAAGTACAATATTTATTACAAAATAAAATAAACATGATAGATACATTAGATATTTTAGATATTTTGTATTATTAGCTTAATTTATTAGTTTTGTTAAAACAGATACTTTAGATGAGCAATATTACAACCAATTTTACCTGTAATCTACTATGCCCTGAAAACTACTATTTTAACAATTACATGTTTAAAATGTAGCATGTATTAAGAGATGTTATGCAGAATGTCATGCATGTCAGTTAATCTTTTTATTAAAACTTACGAGTTCATACTTCCTTATAGTTTGATACTAGATCAATCAATAGGCAATGTATCAAAAAGTAACATAATTCATTCCACCTTTCACTGTTAAACATTATTACTCATTTCGTGAAATTTAATTTACATTATTTCTTGTTAGAATCGTATCGCATAAGCTTTTTGTAATCTTATTTAATTTATTTCTTATCTTACTTCAATATTAAAGAGAATAATGTTGGAACAACAAAAAGGTTAGAGGACCAATTTATAAACCTCTGTATTACAATCATACTACTTTTACAGTAAAATTCGTATGTACATACACTTGTTCATCATTCGATTATATTCACGTTAGATTCAGTAAATAGTACACAATGCTTGTTGTCGAATGCAATCATTAGAAAGGTAATGTTGTTGTTTTGCATGTAGTTGTGGTGGCTCTTCCAAACCAAAATCTTGTTTGGTACAAAGGGATGGGAGCAGTGAAAGGCACTGTCATACCTTCAATTCTGGCAGGCAAAACACTAATATTAATCAACAAAACAGGTAATATGAATGAAAGAATGTAAACACAGTTGTATCTCATTTCCAGAATATTTAATGATTTTAAGTTAATACTTTATACTATGAAGTATTTAATTATTGTGTGCTTTTGTCAACTGTATTTTTATTTCTCATATTATTGATACAAGAGTCCACACAACATATGCAACAGGTAGGTATTACTTAGAAATTTATTGAATAGTCTGCATTGCTTTATACGTTTATTAGTCATAATTCCTTTGTTTTACGTAGGTATTAATATTAAGTGATCTTCAGTAGCCACTTAGAACATATTTTTCTTCAGACTTTGCTCTGGAGTCGGTGTTGGAAAAAATCAACAAAGTCAAAATAGGGACAATTTACCATCGTCAGGATCTGTTACTGGTATAAATAATCCTCAAGCTAGTGATGAACGCATTACTCTTATTGTTGATAATACCAGGTAGGTATTGCTCAATGTTTTCTTCTTAATTACACATGTAATTACATTAAGTTAGAAGATGAATTTTGATTTCAGATTTATCGTTGATCCTGCATTATTCACTGCACATCCAAACACAATGCTAGGTAGAATGTTCAGTTCCGGTGTTGAGTATGCTCAACCAAATGAACGTGGTGAATATGAAGTTGCAGATGGTATATCTGCCATGGTGTTTAGAGCTATTCTTGATTATTATAAAGGTGGCGTAATTCGATGCCCGCCGGCAGTTGCCGTTCAAGAATTACGAGAAGCTTGCGACTATCTTCTTGTCCCGTTCGACGCTAATACAGTAAAGTGTCAGAATTTAAGTAAGTAAAAATTGTGATTGAATTACATAATTCGATGCAACAATTAGCAACAAAACGTTTCGAAATTGCTCCAAATTTTCTAACTAGAATCATTTGTTATCATATAAGAAAATTAACTGCTTTTGCAAATAATAAGGGATAACAACGCTTATTGATAGTATTATAAATAACAAAAATTCTAAAAATAAGATCATTTCATAGGAGGATTGTTACATGAATTGTCCAACGAAGGTGCACGATGCCAGTTCGAAGTATTCCTGGAAGATTTAATATTGCCGCTAATGGTAAACAGCGCGCGTAGAGGCGACCGCGAGTGTCATATCGTTGTTTTATTGGAAGACGATATCGTCGATTGGGATGAAGAATACCCGCCACAAATGGGAGAAGAATATTCACAAAGTGAGTATGCGAACGATATTATTTCTTACTTTCGCTTTCTTTTTTTGCGATATCAAGGTTCAAAATATACGGCCTTGCCACGGTATATTGGATGCATAAAATAGAACATCGATAATCACATAGTCTTAAACACTTGTATTAAAACTTATTTGCTTTGATAAAAAGTTTGTTGATTTATCTCCGATTAAGGAAAGCACGATGTTTTAATAAGATATCTTTCGTTTTTTTGACAGCCGTTAATAGCACCGCTATGTATCGGTTCTTCAAGTACATCGAAAACAGGGACGTGGCTAAGCAGGTAATGAAGGAACGCGGTTTAAAAAAGATTCGCCTAGGTATCGAAGGATACCCCACCTATAAGGAGAAGATCAAGAAAAGAGCCGGAGGACGTGCCGAAGTAATTTACAATTACGTGCAAAGGCCATTTATTCACATGTCTTGGGAGAAGGAAGAAGCGAAAAGTCGGCATGTCGATTTTCAATGCGTGAAGTCAAAGTCTGTGACAAATCTCGCGGAAGCTACTGCCGATCCGGTATTAGACGCTGGCGGAAACCCGATAGCAATCGCTCTCTTACAAGCAGCTGAACCAGTGCCACAACCAGAGGTTGTTTTAGCAGTTGGTTCGGACGCCGACGTCGAGGGTGCCATAGGTCTATCGGCTGATCACGATCTGGGACCGATACCACCTGACGAGTTACCATGAATGCCGATTGTAGAAGTTAGAACGAACAGACACGAATTTCGATTACCAAGTATTTACGGACTGCTTTCTTCTTGTGTCAATTTTTAAACACGGCCAGACTCGCTTATCTCACAATGTCTGTTTAATTAAGAAAGTTAAGCTTCGAATTATTGGTTTCTAAAAGAATGAGATTTCATCGTGTTTCGTCGTATTTTTATAAGATAATCAACGCCAGACGAACAAAATTTCCTCAATGAACACGATCGCGCTTCACATCAACGAAGGTGGAAATATATTTCTTATGTGGGTTCGGCAAATCTGATTTTGACCCATGTCAAAATGGTGTGTATAGTGAAGTTATATCGCATCTTGTGGATGTTCCAACTAGTTTAAAAAATGTCCGCTGTGACTTTTTCAATTTTGTATGTAACGTTAAACATAAAAACCTCTCTCATAATTACATGTCAAATACGAAATAACGAATTCGTTTGGTATGTATCTGCGAAAAGTATTCCCGTTTTATACAATTAATAAAGTTGAATATTGTTTCCGAGGCTGTGATTCTTTTGTTTCCGCGTGTTACTTCAGTACGTGTTCTTACCCCCCCCCCCCCTACAAGCTTTAAAATTAAATCGCATAGTAACGAGATCAAAAAAAAAAAAAAAAAGATTTGATTTTCGTTCATCGACTAATTTCATACAGGGCATCTTCCCTCTCCCAACTCGAATCGAGTCGCGAAAAACGAATACGGTCGGAAAGTGGGGAATTTTGGTTGATGTCAGTCGATAAAACGCGCGAAGATTTATCTGAAAGAGAGTGACAATTCCAAGTGTCGTGGGAGATCGGGAAAAGTTGGCGAGGGATGGAAGGCGGCGGGAGAGGGTAGAGGGAGGGAACGAGAGGGATGCCGAAGATGTAGATCGAGAGGACGCAGGCGCGTGTGCGATCAATAAATAGGCTAACTCAGTCGAGGACAGGAGATCAGTAGCATACGGACACGCAAGCAGCGAGGGTGGTAGCGCGTGTAATATTGTGTCGGGTGAGGCGTACGAAAACAACAGAGCACCCCTCCCCGGCGGACGGTGTAAAACGGGCTGCCAGCGGTGAGGCTGCAGAGCAGGCCGCTCGTCCAGCATGCAACCACCACCGAGAAAAGTAAGCCCGACATCTTTCGTTGCATCTTCGTTCGCAAAATTTTCTTCTCAGTCAGCTCTCTGTACGATTCTTCTTCTTTTTCTTCTTCTTCTTCTTCTTCTTCTCTTCCTTCTTCTTCTTCGTCTTCTTCTTCTCTTGCACTATCTTCACACGAAAATTTTCACGTTGCGCAATTGCAGCGCGTTCAACGTGCACCCCCTCGGCAATGAACAAATGGACTTCCTTCTCTTTGAGCAAGTTCGAACGGATTCAACATGGAATCGTGAAGAATGGGGTTCTCGCTTTCTCGAGGTGTAAGCAGAAGTGAACAGTTCTCGGTACGATTCGTAATGCACGAATTTGACCGCGTATCGATCTTCGGCGATATCTTACGAGGAAAATTGACGTAAACCGCGCTCGAACGTTGCCACGATAGGAAAATCGATGAGCACTTCGGTCCTCGCCACGAATCTATATCAAAAGCTGACCTGAAAATGTATGGAACCGGCCAAAGACCCGGGTTAATATCTGTCAGGTCGAAAACGAACGTGCCTCTCTAGATAACTGGGCTTCTTCTCCCTTCCGGAAATATTTCCTTCGCGCAGACATGAGATTTCCTCGTCTGTCTCCTTTATTATATAACAGTGCACTATGATGCTCTCGTCGAGATCGATCCCGAATTTTGAATGTAGGACGATTTTCAGAAGGCCGTGTTTCCTCGCGAGAAGCTTCCTTCGCAAGATTTCTGTCAAATCAGAAATTACGAAAGAGGACAGATCGTTGGCAAAACGTGTTTTACTTCCGATTTTCTCCTCTATCAATTATCTTTCGTTTGAGCTCTGATTTGCGAATAGTATCGTACAAATATTATTCGAGGACCTTTCTTTGTTGTACGTGCAAATAGTGACGCCCTCGGCCACGACTAATCTATTGTCCGCAGGATAATAAACTCTCCGAGGCAAATATTCTGAAGTGTAGTTTCATGATTTTTTTCATTAGTTAGTCGAGCGAGAGTAGTCAGAAATTTGTCGAAAAATTGTGTTCGATCAGCTTTGTTAGCACCGACGATAACAGGATTCTCCGACCTATTTATCAGGATAACGAGCCGGGCCCTCGCCTCTCTTCGTGACAATAAAGTTTCGTAGTTAAAAATCGGGAGATTCCTGACCCACTTCCACCTACCGAATGTCAGTCAAGCAATAAGTGTCCGCAAGGAAGGAAATGCGTATTTTACACCCAAAAGACATATTCCCTTTCGGCAGAATTTGGTCCAGCTCTCGAGCTTGGTACGCTCCTCTATTTGCTCTTCTGCACTGGAAATTTTCCTCCGCCTCTTCCGGACAATTTCATGTTTACCCACTTCTTTACACTCGAAAATTGTTCTTTCGCAAGAACGGGCTCGAAGAGGCAAGCCTTTCGTTTGAAAATTTCAACGGCGCTAATTATTTATGAGGCTGGAACAGAGACATCGAGAAACTCTTCCTGTTTTCTCTCTCTCTCTCTCTCTCTTTCTCTCTTCGTCGTTTCAAGTCATGTTCATCGAGCCACTTGATCGATAAGGTGTTCTTCAAAAACAATGACCGTCGCAACTGTTACGAGTTTCATTCGACCTGCCCTTTCGCTGTTTAGATTCTATTTTCCTTTCCTAGATTACCATCGTACTTTGTCGAATGCGCCTAGCACCGGTTAAAAGTCTGACCTTTCCGTCTCACGGGGCGTAGATAAAAAAACTCTGTTCTTGAAAAAACACCCGGTAATTACTTGTACGCGAGAGGTGGCGAAGTTTCAACAGATTTATTGAAAATTCTAGGTTACACAGCCTTTGCACTCTGGGTGCAAACAAAACGCGAAGCTTATCTTTTTTTTGTTGTTTCCATTGGCGTGTTTGTCGAATCGTTGAAACGAAAAAGAAAAAAAAAAGGGAAAAGGAGAACTTGAAAATTTGCATTGTTCTCGAAAATGATGAAACAGCTTTCCCCACTTAACGATCCATTGAATAATGCATGATATTACTAGCGCATACACACGTACATATGTGTAATTATATATATATACATAGATATATATATATATATATATATATATATATATATACATATATATGTGCCTTTAGAGCACAACTGCGCGATGCACGTAAAAATCCTTAAAAATATTGGGAATCGATAAGGAAATAGTGAGATTTCAATAACTAGACACAGCGTATCGTCCCTGCATATTGAACGACTGTTCATTATAGAGTTCACGAGGTCAATGTGAGTCCTAATGCATAAAGGAAATATCGATGCACCACCTTGTACTACAAAATTGAACTTGATTCCCCAACAATGTTATCGCTGATTAAAGCATTACCCTCGCACACTTTCCTACACGCCAATTAATGCCTCGGCAATGTATAAGAAAAAAAAAAAGAGAGATGCAACTTTTTACCTTATTTTTTTTCTTCCCCTTTTCTCTTTGTGTCGGAGTTATGTGCTCAATGAGATTACAAAGGAACTTGAACCCAAATTTGAAGTATTTTTATTGAATACTTAATACATAAAAATATTCAAATACTCAAGTAGCAATTTACGTCCTATAGAACTTTATGAGGTATTTTTATTGAATACTTAATACATAAAAATATTCAAATACTCAATCAGCAATTTACGTCCAATATATAGAACTTTATATATGAATAGCTGTGACAATACTTTTTTTTTTTTTTTTTTTATTAAGCTTTCAAATCTCAGATATTCAATCATTAATGCCTTAGATGCTAACCTTAAATGCTAGTAGACGGGTTATTTATACATTTATGTTACATGTTTTTAAAAACGATAGGATACATGCACACGCTTCAATGTTCGGCTCAGCAAGCAGAACAGACATGGTGACAATACTTCTTTTCATATTCAAAAATATACGAACGATCGAATTGTATATTTCTCTCGAAATGTTTATTCGCTATTTTAGATATAGAACACAGACTCGATTAGTGGAAGAGTAGCGAATATAGTATAGTATAGTTTAGTATAGTATTCTACTAGTGTAGTGTTCGTAAATTATCGTTGTCAAGTGAACTTTTCCTTCTGGATATTCTGGCGACGAGTCAAAGGATACGCCTCCGTATGTTACAAAAATCTGTTTGTGATAAAAATCGAAACATCATTTCAGAGATCCATATGTGTAACGTTAATTAAAACTAACGACAGTGCAAAAAAACATTTACAGGGAAATTACACAAAGTTTCTTAAGAATGTACACGCAGAGCAGGCGGCAAAATTACAAGCGAAAAACCAGCATGAGTGCGACCTTCTGGAAGATATACGGTAAGTCTTAAACTTATGTAAAAGAGGATTAGATAAAAGCTGTTTAGATAACCTAAACTTAAGTTATTTTATATCACCGATCCGTCGAATTTCTTCGACAGTTCTCGATATTCACTACGTGCATACTTGTACTAAAAAATTTTCCTACAGTATGTGTCAGCTTGTTACATTTAATACAAAATTCATGTATTTGCAAGTACTTGTTCTACGTAAAAATATTATCTAAAATAACGTATAAAATAGTTGTTTATACATCGAGAATTATTTACTTAATTTTATGTTTTTAAAACATAAATGTTCCAATAATGCAACTATATTTTTCAGCAACTTTACGATAAAAAAGTCTGCGATTGAAAAATCATATTCGGAGGTAAGAGAAACATCAGTGATCACATTCGTGATATTTACATTATCCAGTTTGTATTATTACCGACCAAATGTTCATTCTAGGCACTGCTTAAAATATCCTCTGCGTATTTGAATAAAAAGATACCAAACATTCCGGATTTGAAAGTCGAAGGTGCAGAGGAAAAATGGTAAACTTTAGACCTCGAATATTACATAGTATATATTAAAATTAAATTATCTCAGCCGAGACAAGGCTTTTCCCCGCGGTTGAAGAAAATTGAAATACATATAAAATTTCTTTCTCATGACTTGAGACGTTCCAATTGAATTCAAATAATTTCTAATTTTAGGAATATGTGGAACGTTTGGCGAACTGTCTTGGAAGAAAACGAAAAATTGGCCAGAGCGCGGTTAGCTGCGGTGGAAGTTTTTCAACAGCAAATCGCCGACGATGCGAAAGGCTTGAAGATGCACAAACTACAAATCTCTAAGAAGGCAATCGACCAATTAATGATAGTACAAAAAGAGCTGCAAATGTGCGTGCAAGATGTAGACAAAACCAAAAAATTTTACTTCGACGAAGAGCACAGTGCCCATGATGTACGCGACAAAGCGAAAGATATCGAAGAAAAGTACGTATTTACCATACATGCGGATTTTACACAGATTAACAAGTAGCTGACATTTTTGTGATTGATTAACTGTTTGATCAATTACAGATTGAAGAAAAAAAAGGGATCCTTCTTTCAATCGATAACGTCATTGCAGAAAAATAGTGCAAAGGTGCAGGAATATCTCAAGTAATCTGTGACGATAGAAATGTATTTTGCATAAAAAAGATTAAAATTATTTTCAGGTAAGCTCGAAACGCGACGCTTTAGAAGAGAAGTCAACAGGAGCTCGAAACGATTATTTGCTTGCTCTCGCCGCTGCCAATGCACATCAGAATAGGTATTTTGTAGTCGACTTACAAAACACTATGCAAGTAAGTCACTCTTATATTACTACATTAATTTCTCCTTCTATTTAAAAGAAGTGAACATTTCTTCTTTTCTTTTTTCTTTTTAACAGTATTTAGAACAAGGTGTTTACGATAAAGTTGCAGAATATTTGACGCTAATGGGTCGTACAGAACTCTTGACCTGCTTAGCTACGCAAAACAGTTTCGGCAAAATTCGTGACCAAGCGCAACAAGTAAGTAAAGGAATTCTTGCAATATTAACGCGCAACGTACGTATAAAAATAACGCCTCTGTTCATCCTGTTCATTTTCTATTTCTTCTACAGCTCACCAGAGAGTACAATATACAGTGTTGCTGTTTGTATTATCCTGTCTTGAAGCAACATATACAATACGATTTCGAAGCTTGTGACCACGATCCGGTAGAAAGGTTTATAAACGATATCTATCAGATAAGATATATACATTTTCAAATGCTGATTTTCATGATACTTTAGGAAACGAATTTGTTACAGGATAACGGCTGATCATTCCGCTGCTGCTACGCTCGGAAAGGAAGCTCGTCGCTGGTCGACGAGAATAGCTCGCGAAATAAGTAGCATTCGAGAGAATAGTAGAAAAGTACAAGTTCTTCTGCAACTAAAAGAGTCTGGACAAAAGGTTAACAAAAGAACATAATTAATCCTGTCCAAAAGAGCATAAGAGAACCTAGCTAATTATTTCCATTTCGAATCGATTTTTAAATAATTGTATTTAACAATGATTGTAGACTGATCCAAACGATCCACAAGGTCCAGATTTAGATACGAAAATCGACGAATTGAAACATATGATACGACGTGCAGAGGTAAGATATGCGATGCGGTGAAACGTGACTCGCGTCAATTCTCTTCTTTACCTATTTACTTGTTCATTAGACAGCAAAACTAAAGGCAGAAGCGAGAATAGAATGCCTTCGAAACGGTGGAGGTTTGTTACTTCTATCTTTCTCCTTTGTTCGAATATAATCAGCGTGACAGATTGTAACCTGACATTTGACAATTCCATCTGTTCTTTTCTTCTTTTTTCTTTTTTTTTTTTTTTTTAGTGAACGTTGACGAGTGGCTACAGGAAGCGGAAACATTAAGTGTCCAAGATATGCCACGTTCAGCTAGCTCTCTTTCTGTCAGAACTGATGCATCGGGAACGGCGGTACTTACCTTCATTTGGTTCCAAAATTATTAACTATTACTTAGATAGTGAAATTGTATAAAATATCGTGAAAAAAATCACGTTTACATTATGATAGGAACATCCGTCCTCGGACTCGTTCTACGACAGCGATGGAGATGGTGGCAGCGACTTGACGACCGTCGAACGACCGGGCAGCGCGCGAAACGTTCCTCAACAAGAAGAAGAAACAACTAAGGAAAGGCAAAGACACGATAGTGAAGAAGTTGATGGTAATTCATACCGTAATACAATAAATGGAACGTTGCTGGAATGAGGAACTACATTGCTTATATTATTAATTGAACAGCTTTGCTCGAGCAAGAGAAACAACGAATAGAACAACTTACAGTTGGTTGGGACGATCCGACAGCTGTCGATTGGGATAACGAAGAAAAAGAAGAACAGACTGAGATTCGTGAAACATCCGAAATGTCCTCTACCCAGCCAATATACAAGTGTACTGCGCTCTATTCATACACGGTGTGATTTATAAAAAAATTTACTTATTACAATAAGATTAATGTTTTACCAAGTAATTTTATGTTAAGAAAAATATTTTTGCTAGAAAGATATTCGTACATACTTTACTTTAAATACGTTTTTTCTTTTTACTAAAAATGCATTTCTTCACAGGCGCAAAATCCCGACGAGTTATCAATTGTCGAAAGCGAGCAGTTAGAAGTTGTTGGTGAAGGCGACGGCGATGGGTGGCTGCGAGCGCGAAATTATCGTGGCGAAGAAGGCTTCGTTCCTCAGAATTATCTCGATGTCGAAAGGGACACAACATCCGGTCTCACTTCCCAAGGACCAGGTCTAGTACAACAAATATCCTTCTCCTCGGTAGATTACACAATCGACGACCACGACGCAGTAGATCCAGATGCTAATTTACAAACTGCAGCATCAGAAACTATTGTACAAAATCATATTGGAGGTAAATCTATTTTTCAGTCCATGTTTGATTGCACAGTTCTTGTCCAATGTTGAATAATTTTATCTAATTTTTATCTTCTTCAAGTACGAAACTTCAAATTAGCTAAATGAGCTGATTAAATTAATTAAGCATATGATAATTTATGTGACAAATTAATACAGTAAGTATACTTTGTAACGATTATTAATTTCTTTGTTAGAAACGGAGCAATATTGTATTGCCCTTTATGACTATGATGCCACATGCGACGAAGAACTTAGTTTCCTTGAAGGCGATATCTTAAAAGTCGTAAGGAAAGAACCACACGACGTCGATGACGGATGGTGGGAAGGAGAATTACGTGGACAACGAGGATTATTCCCATCCTTAATCGTAGAACCTTGCGCTGCAGACGGTTCACCTTTGACTCCACAGGTTAAATTTTAATTGAATGGTACTTTTAAACGATTAACATATTTATTTATAACGTTGACCTCTTTAATTTTGCATTATTAGGATGATGTAACACCACCGAGCTCTGCACCTCCAGTATTTACACCACCCGAAATTCCAGAATTTTTATTAGAAAACGAAATAACGGAAAATATGATGAAAGGTAATGAACTTCTAAAAACATGAACATATTGTGAAACGTTACGTTGCATTGTATTGTGTTATCTTATACAGAGTCGCAAGATGAAAAATCCAGTAATGCAAACATCGAACAACAGCATCGACAAGAGGGTTTCATAATAAATCTTTCAAAGGACCAAAAAAGTCAATACGGCTCGCAATTTGAAGCCGATAATTCCGAAGGGCCTGGTATAGTAGGTAAGTTTCAAATCATTACTATTGATTATCGCGCTTTCATTTAATTAAAATCTCAATGTGCACAAAACTGCTGCTTAGTTGTAGAAGTGTCGGATGAGTCGGCAACAAAGGTAAATATATTCCTTTTAAATTGTAATTAAAGAACACCTATTTAAAGAGTGATTGTTAGATAAATCTAACAGTGTATTTTGTGTTTTTAGGTAGATGATGAAAAAGCAAAGTATCTGGACAGTAATCAATCTACAGAAGATTTCGGACTTGGGGTTGCGCAAATTGTAATTACCGCAGCGACACCAATGGAAGAAGTTGAACATCCATTCCCTGAGTTGGAAGAAACCGCTGATGATACAGTGAAATCGGCAGAAAGTTCTGATGGTGATTTACCTTCGAGCACGACTACCGATGTGAACGAAAGTGACTGCAAAGAAGCTACTGTAATAATGGATGAAAGAGAAGAGCAAGAAATTACAGAAGCAACCGAGGATATTGAAGAAAAATCAACGGTTGATGATTTACCAACAGATTCAGCACCATTCCCAGTTAGTAGCAGTTCTGGAAGTGAAGCGGACTCAACGTCCGGGCCAAGTACAGCAGATAATTCTCAGTCTATACCATCCCGAGGTACCGTGATCGAAGTACAAGAAACAGAAGAAGATATTGAGATCGTACCGGAAAAAATGGTAGTAGGAGGAAGGGCAAGTATTCCAGATGAATTACAACCCGATCAGCTAGAGAAGCTGCAAAATCTGAAAGAATCGAATGCCTAGGATTGACTAGACCTCGGAGATGCTGATTATCCTGCCTTATCAAATAAACTGGCTCTTCCGAAAAATCATCAAAATAAATTCCAACATTTACTGGAATTTTGGAAATCTCCAGAGGTTATTGGAAAGAAAGACTAATGAATAACGGGACAACTAAACGATTTTTATGTTAATATTATGTACACAACTTTTTTGCTAGATGATACTCTAGTGAACTATTTCAAGAAAGGTGTTGCGACTTTTGCAACTTATTTACAAGACATTAATGTACAGTCATAAGGTAATAAAGAAAATTGTCAATACCTATAATAGATGAAAACTTTTAGTTGTTTGTGTACATTCTAAGAGAATTATAATGGTGTTGCATGTAAAAAAAACCGTTTTATTCATAATTATTTTTATTTATAACATCCATGTTTATGAAAATCCTTTATCCACGTTCCATGTTCATATAAACAATATAAAATTATTAACAAACTTGCATTCAAGGCTGCATTCTGAGAGCACCATCTAATCTTATCACTTCTCCATTTAGGAGATGATTTTCAACAATATGTTGTGCTAGATTGGCATATTCATCAGGATTACCCAATCTGTTTGGAAATGGTACTGTTCTCGTTAAAAATTCACGCACTTTCTCTGGTAAACTTCCTAGCATCGGTGTATCAAATAATCCTGGAGCGATTGTAACAACACGAATGCCAGCTGTAGCGAGGTCGCGAGCCAACGGCAAAGTCATACCAACAATTGCACCTTTGCTAGCAGAGTATGCCACCTGACCCATTTGTCCATCAAATGCCGCAATGCTTGCTGTATTAATTATTACTCCACGTTGTCCATCTTTGTCTGGCTCGTTTTTATGCAGAAGTGGTATAGATAATCTAATAACGTTAAATGTTCCAAAAGTATTTACATGAAGCACTTTCGTAAAAGTATCTGCTTGATGTGGAGCATTTTTATTAAAATTATACACTTTGTGGGCAACAGCTATTCCTGCTGCATTTACCACGACATTTAATTTTTGGAACTTCTTACTTATTGTATCTATAGCAGCAGTTACATCGTCCTCCGATGTAACCTGTAAAACGAAACAAATCGTTATTGATACAGAAATTTCTCAGGCAAAATTCACATGTATATGATATATATGTTTATATATTTTTAATGGTGATTTACAATCTTAATAATATTAACTGTAGTATACATACATTAAATTAAGATCAATAACAATAATAACATTGGAATTAATAGAACTATAAAGTTTCATACTGCTAATTTTCATACTATAATTCTGATATAAATATGAAGAAAAAATATACTACAATAATATTATTTAAAATTTGATTGATATCTCTTTACTTTATTTGATCATTATACTATACTGTTATGAATTTATGTACTTCCTATTACTATGTTATCAATAATATTAACTCTACTGCCAAAACAGAGAATTAATAAGTACTTAAAACAGAGACACCTCTGATTTTCTATATATTCTTTTTAACAAATGTACAAATTTTATTAATGTAAATTAAAACGAGATTAATACAATTGATCACTCTATTTTGATATATTTACAAGGAAATTATGCAATGAAAGTAAATCAGTAAAAATTTTGTATGTACATTACTTAGCAGTAGAAAAGCCTCATACATACTTGGCAGTAGAAAATTAATAATATTTATGATATATTTATTTTGCTATTTACATCCGTTGGTATAAAAGTAGCAGATTCTCCAAGCTCTTTAGCAATTTCATTTCCTTTAGATCTTGGTAAATCAGCAACAGCAACTTTGGCACCTTCTTTTATAAATCTTCGTACAACACCAAGTCCCAAACCAGATGCACCACCAGTTACAAGAGCAACTAATCCCTAAAAAATATATATATATAATATATACATATGTGTGTGTGTATTTATATATATATATATATATATATAGAATGGTTCACTTAAAGTATTTCAAGTATTGTTTTTCTTAGAAACTGTGGTGGATATATCGATTAATCTTTTTTTTTTAAATTTAATAGTACAAAGGAGCTGATTATATATTTTGAGATATCGTTTGAGTATCAAAGGAATGTGTCTGTTTTTTTAAATGTATTATCATATTTTTTTCTTTTTCTTTAAATAGCTCTTATGAAACTGAATGACATTTATTTTAGTTATGACAAAGGAAGATAGATGGATAATAGGTGAACCATGCTTGTGGCTGCCTAGATCACTGGATTTGACGCTATTAGACACTATTATTACCTATAATACAAAGTTATGAATATTGCATCTACAACAAAAGAAGACAAGAAGAAGGATACAAAATACATGTAAATCCGTAATTTTAATAATATTGTCAAATGTAAAAAATAATGCGTTACTAAGTAAATGTTTAGAAGTCAATGTGTGATTAATATTTTGACCATTTAATAAAATGAATTCTACTTCAGAATGTATCTATTTCAATTTCTCCTTGGTATCCCTACAAAATTTTTTTGTTATCTCTTTCGTATCACTTTTTAATTATGTAGAATAACAAGAAATGCTGCAAATGTTATAAGAACTATTTAAATGTGTTTAAGAACTATATAAAAAAAATATGATATTCCATTTAAAAAAACGTAGAAATCCCCTTTGACACTTAAGCATCACTTCAAAGAAATCTTTTATTTTTCAAATAATCAGTTCCTTCGTACTATTAAATTAAAAAAACAAAAAATTAATCGATATGTGCTATAGTTTCTGACAAAATGACTTGTAACACATAAATATTTCCTCTTAAATATTTTAAACATGTACATAGAACGTTTACTATAATATACTTTTTTAATCTACTTTCTCAATATAATATCTATTATCTTAAAAAGAGTAAATTTTATTTAAAAAGCGAAAGAAAAAAAAACGATGTCGACGAAATTTCGCGATGTCGACAAAGTCCAGTATCAATGAAATCAAAAATCATGTTATTCTCAACAGGAAATATGCTTCCTGAAATTCGTATGGAAAATAACAAGTATATAAAACAATCTAACGTACGTAATAAAAATGCAAATGATTTTATGCTATACAAGTTTATATTTATAATAGTAATGCCAAAGCGTATAACGACAAAATCATTAATACTTACGTTCATTATTTAAGAAAATATAAAAATTATAAAATATGTACTGCGATAACACTAACAAATATGGAAAATGCCTCAATTGTTGTCAACTACTTGCATTTAACTTGTCTCACTTGAGACAACTGGAGTTGAAATGGAAACGAACAGCATTTGAGCATGAGACATCAATTATAGAAATGAGAGATGGCAACCGGGACGGCAGAGGAGCAAAGGTAAATCCCTCGCTCACTCTCGTGTTGTGAGTTTGTTTTCGAGTATGTGTAACATTTTCTGCCAAACAGCGTCCTTATTTTTAACGTTGTGTTGAATCTGTCCGATATAACCAATCGGAGCTGCATTCCTTTTAAGCATCTTTTTTTATTTCTACAATTAGTATAATCCAAGGCCAGCCAATGGACTTTGACCCCGGTATCAGTACGAACCTTTGAATCGCACGAATTTATTTGCTGTAAATTTTTTATCAGCGAATCAGACAAAAATCAGTAAAAATAAAATAAACGACAGAAATTATCATTGTAATTGTTTGTATTTCGTATATGTAAAGATTGAGAAATTGCATGTATTTAATGCAATGATTATTACGTCGTATATTCTGAATTGAAATTTTTGATCATGTATTAAAACAAATTGATATGTTAAATTATCATTAAATAAAAATTATTTCCTCGGTTATTTTATTTACGTATTTACGTATAATTCATCGATAAAAAGATTGCAAAATTTATCAAGAAGATCAACAAATAATTAAACAAAAGATACAAATGAATATCTAATAATATTTAAAAAAATTTATATTATACTGCGAATTAATATACAAGTAACATGCAGATATCTATGAGATTAAAATTTTGTTTCAGGGAAGCATGTAACGTATACACATAAATGTACATATATAAAAATTACTATTTCAAAAGAAAAATATTATTTATTTAATAATGTATTGTATTTAGTAAATTGGTAATAAAAAAAAATCAATAAACAGTAACATATTATTGAAATCGTTTTAAGGAAAGCCATTCTAATATGAAGTCATTAATTGAAAACAACATATAAGAAGTATTTGAATTTCAAACAAAAATACATATATATTACACTAGCCCAATTATATATAATAAAAATTATTTATGATTACAGTAATCGCATGATTTACTCGTATCATTGGTTATATTTTGTTAAACGTATAGGTTAAAAGGAGACATATCTAACATAATATGCATTTAATTTACAATGATAGTCATGCAGTGTAAAAATTTACAACGCCTTAATAAGAATTATAAATATTGCTGCAATAAACTTTCTATTCAACTTTTGTCAGGTATTTATATAATTTGTACATTGAAAGTTACATTAAAAGTGAATGATTTTTATTATCTCTTTTAGATTTTCCAAAAACTTTTAATGCTAAAGAAGCTGAACATGAATGGTTTCAGATTTGGAAAAACAATGATTATTTCACTATTAAAGATAATGAAAAAGAAGCATTGAAAATGCTCTTACCTCCTCCTAATGTAACTGGAACATTGCATTTAGGACATGCGTTGACTGTAGTAATTCAAGATATATTAGCAAGATGGTATTTTTGCAAAAGTTATTAATTCTTGGATATTAAATTAAATATTAATTTAAAAATAATTGACATTTAGGTATAGAATGAAGGGACATCCTGTGATATGGATTCCAGCATTTGATCATGCTGGAATTGCGACACAAATGATGGTAGAAAAACATCTTTTTAAAACAAAAGGTATTAACAAGTCAACTATGGGAAAAGATCAGTTTTTATCATTTGTATGGCAATGGAAAGATGAAAAACAAAATATTATGAAATCTCAGTTAGAAACTTTGGGTGCCAGTTTAGATTGGTCAAGGGAATACTTTACAATGAGTAAGGTAAAATATAATTCTTTTAATAAAGAGTATCTGAAATTTTCAGAAAGCAAAATATTTTTTCATATTGGAAATTTTAGAATCATAATATCGCTGTGATAGAGGCACTTGTCATGTTAAACAAACGAAACTTATTATATAGGAAGAAAGATTTAATAAATTGGTCTCCTACTTTATGTAGTACAATATCAGATATTGAGGTAGAACGTGTATACCTTACCAAAAAGACACAGTTCCAAGTTCCAGGATATAAGAGAATGGTTACATTTGGTGAAATAGCACATATAGCTTATCCAGTGAAAGATTCAAGTATGATTATTTAACTGTATTATTACCATAATATGTATAATCAATCTATATAAGAAATTTTATTTCAATTTTCTTAGAACATGAAATAATAGTAGCAACTACCAGACCAGAAACTGTTTTTGGAGATGTAGCAATTGCTGTTCATCCAGATGACGAAAGGTATGCAAAATATATTGGGCAACAAGTTTGGCATGCCTTGAAAGAAACATATATTCCTGTTATTTCTGATCCTTTAGTTGATAGAGAATATGGTACAGGTAATTATATTTTAATTATTTTACATTTTCATTAGTCTGTGGCATACTCTTATAAAAAAAAATCGTTTAGGTGCCATAAAAGTTACACCAGCACATGATCCTTTAGATTATCAAATTGCAATGAATCATCAATTAGAAATCATTGAAGTTATTGATGAACATGGAAATATAACTGAAACAGGCAAACTATTTAAAGTATAGTTATCTTTTACTTAAATAATTGTATTTTTTAGAAGATTTGTTTTAACGTATTTTCTTTATATTATCTCTATTTCAGGGTTTGCCAAGATTTATTGCTCGAGAAAAAGTTTTAAACGAATTGTCAAATAAAGGTCTCTTAAAAAGTATCAGCGACCATAACATGTATGTGCCATTGTGTTCACGATCCCACGATGTTGTGGAATATTTACTTAAAGAACAATGGTTTATTAAATGTAAAGACATGGCTCGAAAAGCAATACAAGCTGTGAAACAAGGTCATTTAAAAATAGTACCTAATAGTTATGAAGATTCGTGGTATAACTATCTTAATAATATCAGGTAAATAGAAAATATAACAATACGTTTAAAAAAATTGATAATATACATCTTAATTATAATGTTTCTTCTAGAGATTGGTGTATTTCGAGACAAATATGGTGGGGTCATTCTATTCCTGCATATTACATTACAGTAGAAGGTAAAACTGAATGGATAATTAGTCGAACTGAAGATGATGCAAAAACTTTTGTACAAAATAAATATGGACAAGACATAAAATTATATAAAGATCAAGATGTATTAGATACTTGGTTTTCTTCTGCAATACTTCCGTTCGCAGTAATGGGATGGCCAAAGAAGGTATAAAATAATAATTGAATATTATTATAATAATTAAATAATATATAAAACTGTATTAGGAAACATTTTTAGAGCGAAGATTTTGAAAAATATTACCCTTTAACATTAATGGAAACAGGAAGTGATATTCTTTTCTTTTGGGTTGCAAGAATGGTAATGCTAGGATTGGAATTGACTAATTGCATACCCTTTAATGTAAGATCATGAGATTTATTTTATTAATTTTTTTTCTTCTTATTTTTTAATACTTATAATCTTTATACCTTTTTATTTTTTAATACCTATTTAAGAATTGTTAATCCAGGAAGTTTTATTACATGGTCTTTTATGTGATACTTATGGAAAGAAAATGTCTAAAACAACTGGAAATATTGTTTCTCCAGAAAATATTATCAATGGTATCACTTTAAATGTAAGTATTAATATGTGTGTTTCATTCTAAGATGTATTTCATTCAATATTAATTTATTAAATATTATGATGTAATAGAACCTTGTTGCACAAATGAAAGAAAGTTATAATGCAGGTTTAGTTAGCGAATCTGCTCTAAAACGAATGTTAAGCGCAAATAAAAAGCAGTTTCCTAATGGTATACCAGAACATGGTACAGACGCTTTACGTATGACATTATGCAGTCACAATATCAAAAGTTAGTACATATCAATCACTAGGATTTATTTTTAAAATTTTACTCATTTTACATACAGATATTTTTATCTAAACAGAGCAACATATTAAATTTGATATTATGGAGTTCCAAACAAGCAAATATTTTTTAAATAAAATTTGGCAGGCAAGCAAATATATCCTGCTTATGACAGGTGAACAAGTGTATCAAAAACCTACAAATATGGCAATTATTGATCAGTGGATTTTAAGCAGATTATCTCTAATGATAAATGAAGTCAATGATTCATTCTCACAACGAGATTTTCATCAAGTTGTTGCATCAATGAAACAATTTCTATATTATGAATTTTGTGATTATTATTTGGTAAGATCACGATTATTAAATTTGTCATTATTGAAAAAATATAATTTTAATTATTTTAAACATGACTAAATTTTTATAATATGTTGATTATTTTATAAAAATATTGAAACTATTTGAAACATAATTGGAGATCTGATCTTATAGGAAACTACCAAATGGGGATATAAGGATAAAGACACGGATATACATATAAGTCATACATATAGCTTAAGAAAATGTTTAGAAGCATTTTTACGTATATCTGCACCTATAATTCCATATCTGTCTGACGATTTATATAAAAGATTATCAAATAAATTTCCAGAATTTGTATCAATTCCATCATTAATGGAAGGACAATATCCAATGCCAGAACAGGTAAGATGACATATTGACATTCTAATATGCTTAAAACTAATAAATTTATGTATATTACAGTTCAATGAATGGAGAGATGTTTCTTTAGATGAAAGAATAAATGAAGTCATAAATATTATATTAAAAATCAGAGGTATTATGGGTAATGCCAGTAAAAAATTAAATCCAGAAGGTAATTATTTATAGATTATATGTATATGTGCTAATACATTAAGAAGTTAACAATGACTTTTATTTACAGTTCATATTGTAACAAGTAAATTAGAAGATTTTACTTTTTATAATAATGTCATAAATTTAATTAAAGGTGGAAGCAAAATTTTCAATATTTTGATATTCTCAAAGAATAATTATACAGAAAATAAAAATAGTATTTCTTATTCTTATAGTCCTCATTGCACGTTATTTATTGTCATCGAGGTAATTTTAAAAATTTTATATTTATATTTTATACTTGTGACAATTTATATTATATTATTACTTTAATAATATTTTATTTCTAGAATTCTTCTATTTTGCAACAACTTGAGAAGAACATCTTGGAAGAAGACAGTTGTACAAAAAAATTAAAATCGATCACTTTAAAATAAATTAGAAGAATATTTTAAAATAAAATTGAAGTCAAATTAAATATAAAAAATAATTTAATTATATTTAAAGCATTTTACATTACATTTACAAAGTATTGTACAATACAATGAAATCATTAACTTTCATCAATATCCATTTGTTTGTTTGAAGAATCATCCTCATTTTCATTACTATCATCTGTATCCTCACTGTCTGAACTAGAATCACTAGAATCATACCAATTTTGTGAAGATAAATCATCCTTTAATATTGTATTCCATTCTTCTAGTTTACGACAATCTATAACAATAAATTAAATATAAATATAAATTTCTGTTACATGTACATATAATATTTATGAAATTGATGATTACATAACATAAATACCTAAACTATAAAAGTCGTTGAGTGTATATTGTCTATTTTCATCTTCGAATATACCGCCATATAAATATAAGATATTATGCTTTGCAACTAATCCAGAATTCATTCTTGGACATGGAACAAACACATTTTTATGTACATTTTCTTTCTTATCAGCAGTAAATGTTTGTGTTGGTCCTATTGTAACTGTAAATATTTCGTCATCATCAATAACTGTAGATTCAACAGAAGTAGAAGAGGGTTCTTGCATATCTATATCATCATCATCTCCAGCTTCAATATCATTTTCTTGTCTATTTTCTTCCTTCAGTTTTCTTCTTCGACGTCGTGTAGTTACATCTTTTTTTCCATTCAGTGTCACTGATAATGAGCAATAATGTATTTATTCTATTATTTTACGAAAAATTTTATATTAATTAATATATTTACCTATGTGCCATTGAAATTTTTCTAAATCTAAAGCTAACAAATCGTTGTAAAATGTTCCACGAAGTTCCTCTTCTTCTTCTTCATCAAAAACTCCACCAAATATGTAAGCCAAATTTGGTTGAATCAAAGTGGCAGGTGCACTACATCGTGGCAATACCTTAATTCCTGATTGCTTTACAGACACCCATTTCCATTTTAAGCCAGTCTGATCATTTTCTATGAAATAATATTAAATACTATTTAAAATTTTCATGCAAAACATTTTAAAACATTTTAAAGAATTACTTACTTTCAGGAGTCATTAAAAACATGTCATTATGAATGCAACCTTTATCAACATCCTTCTTTATTCTTTCCTTACTATAACCACCGTAAACAATAAGTTTATTTTCAGATGTTGGTAACAGTATGCATCCAGATCTTGGGAGTGGTGGAGTACCTGTTTACACAAATTATATTAATGTAATAATCTGCTCTAAAACTAAAAAATTTCTTGTTTATTAAAATCTTACCAGATAACTCAACCTTGTGCCAGACATATGTTTCAAGATTAAATATATATACATCATTGAAATATTTATAATCTCTTAAATTATCATGAAATCCACCAAATACTATTAATTGTTTTTTTATATGTACCATCCTATGACCACTCCTGGCAGATGGTCCACCAGAAGACCTGAAGATCAAGAAATTAAGAAAAATAAGCAATAAAAAAATTTTATTTATATAATACTTAAAAAGCATGATCAACATACAAAATTTTTTCCCATTTTTTCTCTGCAAATCGATAAACCCATAAATCTCTATAATGATAAAATTGTGACTCTGAAGGGCTTGAAAATTCACCACCAAATACCCAAAGTTCTCCTTTATTTGCAGTTGTAGTCACAGCCTGATGACCGCAACGTGGAGGTGGAGCACCAGGTGCTTTAACGACCATCCACTCATTTTTGTTCAAGTTGTATATAAACATATCTCCATAAACAACCGTCTAAAGATAAATGAGATTTACCAAGTAGTTAAAATTAATAGATATTATTATTTATAACGTTTTATATAAGTAAAACGTTAGTCTACCGTTCGTCCATCATGAAATTCTCCACCAAGCATAATAAGTTCATCTTTGAAAGGATGTGTTGTTAAAGTAAAATTTACACGTCTAGATGGTGGTGGCACTATTTTTTCAATAACACGTTGTCTTTTAGCTTCTTCTTTTTCAATTTGAGCAATCACAAGCTCTATATCATCCTAAAATATAAAAAAACAAATCAACATTATTTTTGCCTTACGAATTATCCATTATACATTTATAATTACATTTAAATTTCATGTTAAGCAAGACTGAAATATAAAAGTTTTATTCTTTTAATAATGACTTATTATCTATAATACTTAAACTTATTCTATTTTTATAAATGTTTCTCTCTTCTACATTATTTAAATTAAAATTATTTTGTTTAGATTGTTTAGACACATTTAAGAATTTTATACGAATACAATTTCTTATATTTATTTCTCATATCTCATATTTTCCTAACCTCGCCAAGTGCCGCCAATTCCTTTTTCTGTTTTGCATTCAACTTTTTCTCCGTTTTAAGTGCAGTTTTTACACTACCACTTATTTTCTTCTTGCTTTTATCTTTTTTACCCATCTTGTATGATAACAAATCCTTTAAAAATGAAAAAACTGGAATCTAAAATTTGAATGATCCACCTGACACTAATGTATTTGCCTAATGCGTCTCTTTGTCTAATACTATAGTATATAAATGCACAGTAGTATATATAGAATGCATAGTGTAGTATATATAGAATGCATAGTGTAGTACATATAGAATGCATATAATCCATCCTTTAACAATTTTTTAATAATTTTTACATATTTATTAAATATAAAACAATTTTTATTATTTTCTATATATTATTTTCCATAATTATGTATTCAATTTTTTTATTTAAATTAATTAATTAATTAAATTTAGTAATTAAATTTATATTATTTAATTTATTTATTAATAAAATTAAATTTTAAAAAATTATATATTACTTTTAATTATAAACTTATAAATTGTATTTTTAAATTATGAATATTAATTTATTCAATATTACCATTATTATTTAGATTTATATTAAAATTTTTTATATGAAATAATAAAATTTAATAAATTTTTATCATATTTATATTTATTATATTTATTATCAAGATTATTATTATTATGAAAATATTTAATCATTTTAAAAAAATTCATATATATAAATAATTTTTCTACTTATTTAAAAATTAATGAAAAAATAAATATATTATTATTTACTTGTATAATTATATTTTTATTTTTATTTATTTTATTTAATCTTATCAATAATTTTAAGTATAGTTTATAAACAAAATATTAAGTTGCAAATTTAAAGAAATTAAAAAATTAATTAATTATTAAAATTTTAATTTAAATAAACTATTAATCTTTAAAATTAAAGAAATATTATATAAAAAATATTATATAAATTTTAATTTTGATTATTAAGTATTATTAATATAAATTTATTAATTTTGATTATTAAGTATTATTAATATAAATTTATTAATTTTGATTATTAAATAATATTAAAATATAATATTAAAAAAATCTTTATTAATAGTTAGTTACTGTATACATATAGTATATGTAGTATATACTGTATACATATAATATAGTAAATATGTATACAGTAACTAACTATTAGTATATGTATAGTACAGTAACTAAAATTTTTTAAATTTTGTTTAAAAAAAATTGGTAATCTTCTAAATTAGTAATTTTGCATCTAAGAAATTGGTAATCTGCTAAAATTCTTTTAAAAATACAAAAATTGTAATTAAATTTATATTCTCTGATATTTTATATCTTATATCTTATATGTATACAATTATGAAACAATAAATAATATTAATCAATAAATAATCATTTTGTTTCAAAAGTTGCCTTTTATTAGTCATATTTCATGATTTTTATATAATATATTTTGTACAATATATATATATAATTATATATATATATTATTCGATTTTTGATTACCGCTTTTTATTCTACGCGTATTATTTGAAATACAATACGTTCCTTAAGTTTTCATTTTTGATACTTTATGCAATTTATAAAGAATGATTCGCAGTTTGTCTCTTTCGTTTGACCTCCGGTTTGCATGTCGATCGCGAAACACTTGCAGTGAAAACCGCGCTTCATTCTGATCACGAAGCTAAATGTTCTGAAATAAGGTACGTTTGCTCGATTGAAAGTCGATCGCGAAGTAGTATTACATCTGCGGCAAACGTCAAAGTTGAAACAATCCTCGATTGGAATTTCTGCTTTCCCGAGGAGAAAAAGGTGACATTTTCAAGTCCGTGCAATTCGAAGAAAAATCCTATCGCTATATTTCCCATTGTGACGCTGTAAAATTGTTGTTGCAGTTATTCACGGCGTTGTTACCGTTTTAACACGTTCATGCAATGTTAGTTGACTCTCTGTCCCGCGAAGCATTACGTTATTTTTTTAGTAGCCACTTCAATGTTGTGATTATTTTCACATCTGATTAATTACATCGTGGTCGAGTAAGGCGAGGAGGTATCGTGATCGCATCATGTTTTGGGCAAACAATTACGTGTCATCCCCTAATATTGAGGCCCTTCTCAACAAAGAGGTAAGCGAGTCTTTTTTTAGATAAAACGCGATTTAAATTTACACACGTGAAAGAATTCGCCAAAGAGTCCAAGAAATGTTACGTGCATTTCGGTTTTTTACCTTATTCCACCGAGTTAAAAATTATTATTTATCTCTCTTGATATGGTATTAATTCTTCTGTGCAGTTTCTAAAATGTATCAATAATTTCCGAGAAATGTTTCAAAATACTAAATTCGTTGCAACAATATGTGTTTGTGATGTTTGTTAAAAAAAAAAGTGACTATTGCTTTTTTAAAAAAACCATACTATATCTGTTGCAAGAGTTACATATTTCCTATCGTGTTGGTAATATTTACATATTTTCTTTTTCTTCTTCATTACTCCAATAATTTATTAAATTACTTCATGTTAAGATTAAACTATTTCATTTATGTTATTTAAAAAAAAAAAAATTCTGATATCTTAAGGGTCCGATAATCTACTTTTTTAGTTTGTGAAATATAATTCAATAATTTTAATAACACTTGTTTTTGTACTAATATTAAAAAAATTTAATTTAATTTTATCCATAATTTTAGGATGTTACGTTGCATGAATTAATGGATGAAGAAGATATATTACAGGAATGTAAAAGCCAAAATAAAAAACTTATAGATTAGTAAGTGAAATTAAAACATTATTTCTATAAATATTTATATATACATTGTAATATAACATTGTTTATATAGTCTTACAAGGTCTGATGTGATGGAAGAATTAATAACACTTACAACTAAAGAACCATCAGCAGACATAGAGGAACGTTGGCGCTACAAATATCCAAATGTAGCTTGTGAGCTCCTAACTTGTGATGTTCCAGTCTTAAATGAAAAATTAGCAGGTTTGAATGAACTTATGACAATTTGAGTGTTTTATATAATATAAAGATTATATAACTCTAAATTTTTGAGAAAAATGTTAATAAAAGTTCACGATATTTTAGGCAACGAAGCATTGTTGGCAAAACTTTATTCTTTTATCGATACAGATCAACCATTAAATCCCCTTTTGGCATCATTTTTTAGTAAGACTATCGGAGTACTTATTGGTCACAAAACTCTTCAGGTGATTATAAGTTAATGTAATAAATTTATTAAACTTGAATATAAGAAACTTTATAGAAACGTAGTTTATGCAATAACATTCTTTGTAATTAAAGTATAATTACAGTATAATTACAAATATTATAAGTATTAAACATTAAATTATCTTTCTTTTATTCCTTAATCATAACCTGAACCTACAAATCCTATATTTCCATCTTTTCCATCAGAACTGGTATTCGTATCAGTTCACTTGTTTGCAGCTTTTAGAGTTTTTGAAAAGTCGTCAGACATGCGTCGATCTGCTTTTACAACATTTAGAAACATCTGCAATTATGGACTTAGTACTGAAACTTGTTAGTCAGGTTGAAGGAAATATGCGGCAAAATATACTAAATGTAAGAAGCTTGAAATTTTTTTCTTTGACATATAGTTAATTTTATATCAAATCTAAGTACTTTATTTATTGTATTGTATTATTTTATTTTAAATTTTGTGTATTTATTTTTCATTGATTTCACAGTGGTTGGATAGTCAACAATTAGTACAAAGAGTGATAAAATTATTATCCTCAAATTCTGAATCAACTAAGCATGCAAATGCTGCACAATTACTTTGTGATATGATAACTGCTGCGAGAGAATATCAACGTACATGTACAGCACGCACTGGTCCAGATCCTATTTTAAATACTCTTGAATCGTGAGTATAAATAATGAAGATATGAAGATAATTTAAGATATTTAAATTCTGTCGTTTATTACAGAGCAGATACAGTAAGCCTGTTACTAGAGACTATTTTAACTGGAGAAAAACTAGAAAGTAGTATTCTTGGTGGAATTCAGGTACTTCTTACACTTTTACCAAAACCTAACAAGTAAGGATGTAAATTGTTTAAAAAATTTTTTAATATCTTGCAAGCAAGTATACGTATTTTATTAACAGCTCTATCTGAAATTTTAGTGGAAGAAATGAGGATAGTGTTCACGGGAATGGTATTGAAGAGGAGATTACAGATAGTGAAGAGCGTATAAAGATATCAAATGCAACTTTGCCTTACCTAGAACAACTTCACAAACTTCTACTGGAGCCACCTAATGTAAATATTAATGTTACTATATATTTAATCCATACTGTAGATTAATTTTATCTAACATTTTTATAAGAAATATTTTCCTAAATATTACATAGAAAAAAAATATTCAGTATAATTTTTTACAATTAAATCTTTATACTACAGAAACCTCCTGTTAAAACAACCACTGGCGTATTAGAATGTCCAGTAGGTATTACGCGTTTACATGTTGCAAAGTTATTCACGACATTAATGGCAACCGAAAATGTGAAGGTTTATGAAGTCTTAATAGAATTAGGAACATTCCAAACGTTACTCGTAAGTAAATTTAATAACAATTAGGAGTAATTAAATTGAATAATTCAATTTGTAGTAACTAAAAACGATTGAGAGATTTATTTCATTTCTTTTAAGGATTTATTTTTTAAATATTCGTGGAACAATTTTCTACATACTCAAGTACAATTTTGCCTGGCTTTAGCTATTAATTGTGATTTTAAGGATACAAATGATATTATTTATGATAATGTAAGTATTACAATCAATAAAATGAATCAATATTTATATTTATATCTGTAGTTAATCTGATTAAACTAATTTTTAGATATTTAACAAATGCAGATTAATAGAGCGAATTTTGGAAGCATGGGATGAAAATGATAGTAAACAGTATGTTAAATAGTAATTGAAATAATATTGCATAAGTTTGTATTTTATAGTAATACAATAATTTTATTAAAATAATCATTTTTACATTTTAGAAATAAAGAAATGAAAAATAAACAAGGATACATGGGCCATTTAATAAACGTTGCAAATAATATTGTTAATCAACGTGAAAAAAGCGAAACTTTAGATAAATTTTTAAAGGATAATTTATTACCTGAGTGTCTTAGTAATTGGGATAATTTTGTGAATATTGAACTAACAAAAATTAATAAGATTCATCAAATCCATTTGGTATGAATATAAATCATTAGATAAATATTATTTATTTTTATATTAATATTAGAATTATTCGTCACTTTATAAGTTATAATTCGAATATTTAGGGTGGAAAACCCCAAACATCTATGACGAGTTCCACTGAAAATCCAGATGAATATAGTTCTTATCCCCAAGAAGAATTTCTTCAGGTTCAACGAGTAGAACAAGTTAGTAACATACTTTCGTATAAAATAACTGTCATATATAACAAAAAAAAGATACAAATAATATACATAAATACAAATACTTCTTATACATAAAAAGAATAGATTGTAAGTTAAGAAAATTTGTTTTTGAATTGTAATATGTTATTATTTTTCACGATATTGTACAACATAGTTTTACTCTAATTATCTGGGACAACATATGACGCCACAGTTTCCTGAAAATTTTGGATTCCATGATGATCAATTTAACGATGGCGATGATGCTCTTCAGTAAGTAAAATATACTTTGTTACTAACTACTTTGTTAATTATATGATTTATATATTATATATTTGTGTTTATATGCATAAAAAAAATTAGGAAACTGATATTATAATGAAAAAACAATATAAAGCTATATCTTTGTAATATATATATATATATATATACATATATTTTTTTTTATAAATACTATTGTAGTAATTCAGTTGGCCAATTAACAACAGTGGCCTTTACTATCAGCGAAGAAGATCTAGACAAAAGAGAGGATATGTTCAATAAGGTATAAGATGCGTTAATAACATTCATTGATAAACATCTTAAATTTAAAACTTTTGATGATTTTGTGTAGATATGTCAGCAAAAACAAAAAGCAGATTTAGAGGATTGCAACCCAGGAGTAGAATGGGGCGATGAAGGAGAACTCACTTTTCAAACAGTGGTAGACAAACGTGATTGGCCAACAAAACAGCAACATAATGATTCTAATTCATCCGATGAAGATGATGAAGATTCACGAGACATGCACATGGAAATTGATTCTACAGAGCGTATGGTTTAATTTTCATATTTATTCCTATTTTATTTTCTTGTACAAAATAAATTTTCATTTCATTGTTAATTTTAATATAGTTATTAGTCTCAATATGTATAGTAATTCTCAATATTTATTTTTTGCGACACTATTGCAATAATATTTCTTATCTCAGCTTGGCGTTCAATGGAACCGTTACCAACCAATCCTACAATTCCTGAAGTGAATCCATGGGATGTTGTATCATCAGAGCCAGTTGAATCTACTGGTTGGGCAAATTTTGACAATTTTGAAAACGCTCTTAATGTGGAGAATGCTGTGATAATAGATAATAAATTGTGTGATGAAGGTAAAAAAGAAATGTCGAACACAACAGTTGAGAACAAAATGGAAACTCCGTTGGGAAGCAAAGTAACCGTGGAAGCCATTGGAGCAGGTGACGTGAAAATTGAAGATACAGTTGATAGTACAGCTTCATACATAGAAACAAATATAAATCACCAAAATACCGAAAGTAGTTTGTACTCTGGATGTACTGCCGATAAAAATGCAAATCCAAGTGAAATTGTAGATAGCAGGTAAGTAAAATGTGTTTATATATTCTTATTATACGTAAAAGTGTAATTCCACCAATATATATAACATATATTTACGAACTTCAGAGAAATCAAGTGCGAAGGAAACATAAAGAATGCGGAACTTGCGACTACTACGGTACAAAATGAAAAATCTTCGAGTGATTATACAATTTCGTGTAGTTTAAAAAATGTATCACCGGAAGCTGTGTTATCATCGACAGATACCAAATGAAAAATTATTTGTTGAGTATGATATTGCAATAGAACAAAAAAAGTCATATCAAGTATAAATTTGTACGAATGATCAGAATATATATTACGTCCCTATATTTTCATTAGATCACATTAATTGTGCTTCATTGCGTTGGCGCCTGGGTAACAACTCACAGCAGGGTATAAGTATGGATTGAAAAGTAAAAGACTAACCGACGCTCAACTATGAATAGTATATTGATGTACATGTACATGTTCTCGGATCGCCAAAGTTTCAATTATAAATACAATTAACCTCGTGAAATACAATTTTCCAGATTTTCTTAATGAACATAGTTATTAAAAATTTCTTTAGGTTATTATTTGTACGTAATTAATATAAAAATTTAATTGAATAGTCACACATCCTTTGTGTCTCGGATTTGGTATAATATTAGTTAGCATGATGAGATAGACAAAGTACAATTTGTACAAAATTAATGAATGCCAAGATGAATTTAACTTGGTCGCCTGATACCTGTTCTCACAAAAGTATTACATGCTGATGTGCATGTGTATATACATATACACATACATATATTGTAATGTTTAAGTGATACTGATACGAGGCTCCTTAAAAAGATAACCGTAAATATTAACGTTTAATAAAAGAAGAAAACTGGTGCTTTTGCTTCTTCGTTCGATAAGGCAAAGGTACTTATGTGCAGTGCCTATTGTTTGATTAAACGTTTGCTCGTGCAACGATGCGATATAAACAAAAAAGAAAATTATGTATTTTTATTACGTTGATGGTAATGTTCATCAAATGTATACACGTGTAATGTAGTGAAATATTTCAATAATGAACTTACTTTCATTTGCATTCCAGAGAAGAAAATTTAGTAAAACATAATTAATAACTATAATGTTCTTTTCAAAATGATCTTCCAAAAGAATATAGTATTAAATTTCCGAAAAAAACTCCGAAGTTTTGAGTGGTCTATGCTTTTAACAATACCTGTTCAATTTTTTGAAACAAAATTTTGTGATCTAAGTTTTTTGATTATCTAAGATATTTTGTTTGTTTTTAAAATTTTTGGTATAATGTGTTTATAGTATCGTACATGAAATATTGTACATAAGTAATAAATATAAGCAGTGTTCAGAATTAAATGAAGATATTATTATTATTATTATTATTATAATTATAATTATTATTATTATTATTACTATTCTTAATATTTTTATTTGATACTATTGTGTAATATTATTAGAATTATATAAGTATTGCGTGTGTTGTAAAAATATCATAGTTAAAAATATTGATATAATATCTTAATTCATTGATTTATAAATCATAAGAAATTCTAGTGGAAAGCGCTATAACTAAAATGTATTGGAAACATGGTCGAGATATTTCTAAATAATAAAATAAAATCCTAAAATTTCTTTATATTTTATCAAATTAAAAAAATCAAATAGCATTTCATTTATTTTATTAAAGTACAACTTGTCACAATCCAATGGTAATGCTGTATGCTTACATATTTAAAAAATAATATTTAAATATAACAATACAATGTTACAATGTTCGACCTAGTGAATCACAAATAATATTGTTGATATTAATAAAAAGAATTTCGAAGGAAATGAGTATGAATTTAATGTTTCGCTCTTCAATTTTATTTTACACGCATAAAACATAGAATATAAATAACATTTAATTTAATCATGACAATTGAAATCTTGATTAATATTTAATTTTCAATAGAAAAATTCGATCATGTTAAGTTTCAAAATTAAACAAATTTCCCGCAAAATTTTTCGTAGAATAATACCAACACTAACTACGAGATGCAATGTAGATTTAACATTCCATACATTTTAATATTGTATAATGATTTTGAGACACTAGATACTTTTTTCTAATCTTTGTACAAAAATTTCTTACTAATCTGGCATAAGGAAATGGTAACAGTATTTTCCAGAGACATAATTATCCTCTGAAATTCTACAAAATTATTGACCTGTTCTATACTTCGTAATGTTAGATTGGACGTTATAGACAACATCGCTATATTCATGTTACTGATATCTTAAGATTAATCTACAATATATTGATCACAGGTATGTATTTAGAATATATAATTTATTAATATATTGCGATTATGTGTATATATGTATACTAACATTAAAATCTTAACTTACAAAAGAAATTGAATTCGACGAAGTAGACTATATTCTATGCGATTACGTGACGATTGCATACCATCATTGAAGAGATTTATTATTGTATTGAATTGGTTTGTAATTTGATAAAGCGTATTTTATTTTCTTTTTACATTTTGTATTTAGTTTTAAGAATGTATGTAGTAATTCTAGTCTCCGATCTTATAAAATTTATCATACATGTTCCGTTTAAATTGTATGTGATGTAATTTCTCACAAGGAATTGAAATTATAAAAAAATATTTTTATAGAAATTGTTTGATATAAAGAGATATGTTATGTGCTATTAATGGTATTTCTCCAGAAAAAGTTGTGGAAGAGATTTCAAGGTTAACTTTATGCTTTTAAACGGAACTGTATACAATTTTAAATGTATTAATCGATTTATCTAGATATTCCTCAGTATTAACCTGTTTATATCGAAAATCATTGGTTTAGGAAATAATTCAATTTTGTGAAATCTATCATATAAAAGATGAGAAAAGATATGAACAATATTCTTGTTTATGTTCTTGTCTTTCGTAACCTTTATGAAATTAAAGCTAAAATATTTCTTGAATCAGTTTTTATATAAATAGGTTAATATTTTTATATAGGGAGTATTCACTTAAGTGCATTCAAAATTATCCATTTAAAAAAATAAAAATCTCCCTTATCACTTCATTTGCAAAAGAATAATTTATATTATATGATGATCTATTTTGAACCAAATAACTTTTGTTAAAGTAGTTTTTTAATCATTTTAATCTTATCCTAATCCTATATAATTTGATTCCATCATTTTCAATTAAACGAAATACTCTGTATATAGTTTAGTTATTATAAAGTATTGCTTATTAGATCTCTATCAAAACTGAAAACTATAACTTATTCTTTATCTATTTTTATTATTATAAAATATTTGAAATCTTATATTCTAAATTATATTTTAAATAATTGGTAAAATATTATTTTTATTATTTATTTTTTCAGTTTGATGGAGATAACCAAGTTTACAAGATTTATTAAGCGATATTGGGTAGTAACACTATTCCCAGGTTTTACCATAACTGCTATTTCTGCAGATCTGTGGCGTACTCATCAGTGGAAGAAACGTTTAGCTGCAGAAGAACAATTTAATGTAAATAATTAAAATGCTAAAAAAATTATCATTGGTACAACAACAAATTATTGCTACTAGTGGCTTTATAATCATAGCAATAACTGGACGCTATCTTTACAACTATTATTCTGGACTAACAATGTCAAGTTTTCGCGATAAATCAGCTTTATATGGAAGAGAGTTAAAACCTGGAGAACCTCCATCTTGGCCATAATTTACTTCTATGTTATATGTTGTATGCATATATTTTATAAAAATAATTATAGCTATAAAAAATAAATGAGTAGAAAGAAGTAATAAATTATGTAAGTTATAATGACTGTTCATTGTTTATTCGCCAAATATCAAATAATCAATACATAAAACATGTTTTCCTTGACGAATGATTACTTTTATTTTATTTTAGAAGTATCACAGAAATTTTTTATCAGTTTTCTCAATTGACTTGTTTTTGCATATAATTTTTACTCATGAAATCGAAATTAATTTTATAATTGAAAGCATAATATTTGCATTAATGGATATCAATTTTAAAAATGCTACCTTATATTTCTAACATTTCATTGTATTGAAGTAGAGAAAATTCTTGTTTATGAAACATTTCACAAATTCGTATTTAATTACATTAAATTTGCCCTCAAGTAATATTTCTTATGCACAATGAAGTTAAATTTTTTAAATTTTATTGATACATTATATTGGAATCTGTTATGTTTTTCATTGATACTTACTATATTTACTATATAGGTATATGATTATTGTAAATAATTATACATGTATCATATATTCATACGTGATATCTCTCTAATATCAGTAAATTTTTACATTTTAAAATAAACTATGATTTTACTGCAAAAGTATATTTGTTTCAGTTAAATTTCACTATATTAAAGGGATATTAGATTTCACTAGTGTGTCAATTTTTCAACACCACGTACCATAGGAATATGTTTATACAGAAATAAAACTAGTGAAAGATATCAACGTGTTTGAAGTTTTTTATTAAAAATATTTAGTAATTTTAATTAACAACTTATCTTCCATTGAAATATCTTTTGTTGGGAAAGTGCAATAAGTTAAATAGAAATTATACAAGATATTGTACAAATTAATTATAGATATTAAGTTTCTGAAAATGTTATAATTTAAACACTATTTCAAAGGTTTCCCCTAATTTAGATTCTTAATTTGCCCGTCTATCGTAAAGGGGGCGCCATTATTGATTCATTAATTCAGGGGCATCTAGATGGCGCTTTAAAATCTCCATACAATATATTTAATTTTATATTATTTCGTTCCAAAGAATATGACTCGTACAGTAAATATGTGACAAATATTTTATAACTCATTTTCGAAATAAAGTATTCGTACATTTTCTGTATTTAGAAAATTAACATCTTCCCGCCTAATATGGAGTACAATGCCGACATGCGCACGCATATCGATTTGATCAATGGTTTCGTACATTTTGTTGAGAACAGTATCGTACATAGAAAATGAATATCCAACATGAACATGTTACAGAGAAAAACGAAATAATACACGGTGAAGTTACTAACTCAACCGTAAATCTTTCAAATGTAATTGGAAACTATGTCTTAACGTTGAATTCTTTAATTTAAAAATTACATATAGACTACATCAATATGCATTAAGTTATTAAAAAATTACTATCCCTTATATAAAACGAGCAATTTTTCATTAGGTCAAATTTTCATTGAAAAAATTCAACAAAACTGAACCATGATTCATATTTTCATAAAAACAGACATCGAGTTTACAGTTACAAGTTACATTTAGAGATTAATTTGATTTTGCAAGAAGCGTATGGTGCACGAACGAGAAGAAATACAGCTGAAATATTCGTTAATAAGGGACCGCGAGCTACGAAATCGAATTTTTTTTCGATACAGGGAAAAAGAAGAGAATGGGGCACGAGCGACGCTTAGTACGGCAATGTAAGTTGCGTCGTTGGCAGCAGAATGGTGAAGAGCAGAGGGGGTTAGAAGTTTGCATCGTTGCAGCGTTGCAGTTGTTCGCCATTGCTAGGGAGTTAACTTGGGTACTAGGCTAGGCGAGGATCTCGGTGCTCGCCGTGTTGTCCTCCCCCCTTCCCCTTGCATCGTGGAAAAAACTATTTAGTGATTTCGTGTTACGATTTTGGGTATTTTGAGATCCGGGTGATTTCGAATCGGCTTTCGATTCAAAGGAATGGAGAAGAAGTGGCAATCAACGATGAACACGACGAGTGATACAGTCTTGCATGCCAATCTTCTAACGACGACAGGCCAGCGTCTTACTCCAACAGGCAAAATCAGCCATGCCAAGACGCGTGTCTACACGCAACGATATCGCAAAGAATGGGAGCAAATGCCCGATTTTAAAGGTACATCCCGCTTATTATTTTCAGTTGCTAATTTTAAAATAGCTCGTTGTCTCCGGCGAGGCGTTTCGTCAACGTTGCAACGTGCTGTACCTTGCCACGCTGGGTATCTGCATACGTATATAATAGTTCTAGCTCTGCCGCCTCATCGCTCTATCGGGGCCTTAAGCAACGACGCTTTTTCGTTAAAGACGAGAGCGAATTATTTTTAGGGGGAATTATCACCACGTAAATTTCCCCGTTTTTCTTTCATCAGTGATTGTTATCCTTCGGCTCGACGCAGGGACTGTCTTTTTTGTGTCTTGGTTCTTTTTTTCGTGAAAGTACACCTACAGTTGCACGCAACTGCCGTGTATCACATTAACAATTTTCGTAGAACATAACTGCAACATGATTTATCGTATATACACAAATATCCTAGTTTGGTCAATTAAATTTTGAACCGTATTTAAACAATTCTCGGCTTAAACAGTACTCAATATTTGTTTTCTTTATAAAAATGAGAACTCCAATGTATTATGTTTTGTAGCATACAATGTGACTATATAGCCCATTCAACGACTCGAGTCAATCGAGATAAATAAAACCACGTGATCAAATTCTAGGGGAAAAAGGGTCAGTGTACAATTTCAAGATATCACGAAATGGAAAATTATTTTTGCGAGCATTAACCTCTCAAAGCCTTTTTATGCCCGTTTCGATGCGTAGGAAACTGTCACGCCCTCTTTAAGTTTTACAGCTTTCCTCTAATTTTCTGAAAAATCTCTCGGCGAGATTTTTCACAATCAAATATTCTTTTAATCTCTTTCATTTCTTCTTGATCTTCTGACCCAATACTTTCTGTAAACATCTCGTATAATGTTCTTCTCGTTTTTCAAATTTCTTTTGGTTTACTTGCGTTCTCTAGTTGGCAATATCCGAAACGTTTTCAATTTTAAATGTGCGCCTTGTACAAAACGTGATTGGTACAAACCGATCAATCGGACGCATGGAAATTGAGATTACGATTCAAAACGTTTCTTATAATAATCATTTATAATTCACTAAGAGTTACTAGCCAATAACTGAACAACTATTTTCTGTCTACATTAATCGTTTCATTCAATTGTTGTGTTATTGTACTAATTAGAAAAAGCAGGCGAATCTACTCGAATTTTATTTGTAAGAGAGAACTAGGGAGTAACAGTATCAAGAGAGCTGTAAACAATTGTACCTGCCGCAGAAGCTTCTGAAAGGTATATATTATATATTATGCAGTATACACAATGAGAACGTTGTTTATTTCATAATGTTTCTAGATCGGTCTATCGAATAAAAATTACAAAAGAGAAATTAAAGGAGAGAACACCTTCAAAAGAAAAAATCTCGCCAATTTTTGAGAAACCAGGAAATTCTAAATAAGAATTAGTGTCAATAATAAGTCAAATAGTGAGTGACCTTTTCTTCTGAAATTAAATACCAACGAATGATATCCCTGCTTTATTTAAATTATTTATACTACTAAGGATAATGAAACTTAAATACGTATGTATATGTGAAGGGGACTCTTAGGAGGTTAATCGTCTCTATTTTATAATATTTCGAGATTGTAAATATGACTCTTGTTTCCCTTAGAATTTGATCACGTAGTTATTGTCGATTGACTCGATTCATTAAACAGATTACATGAAAGTTCTATTATTTTTAATTTTATAATATTTCGAGATTGTAAATACGACTCTGCCATTAGGATTAGTTACTGTCGATTGACTCGATTCATTGAGCGTACCATATAAAAGTAAGTAAAAGTAAAAGTTTCATTAAAAATAAATCAACATACGTTGATGTCATCATACAGTTGAAACGTGTTTTAACGGATTATTTATTTTGTCAATAACGTCTTTGAGATAACTAAATAAATACTTAATATGTTTTGTCCTAGGATGGTTAACGGCCGTGCCATTTCAACCGACACGTGCTTACTGTATATACTGTAAGAAAAATCTTCATGCGCATCGACTTTCTTTGTTAAAACATACGTGCACGATGAAACATCAACGTGCAGCTTTGCTACACGAAGCGGAAGAGAAGAGAAAAGCTATTCGGAAAAGAAACATAGAGGAGAAGGTCGAAGTGGAAGAGGTTGAGGAAATGGAGGTTCAAATTCTTTTTCTAACTTCACGTTGTTTGAGTTAATTTTTCAAAATTAAATTAGAATTGTATTCACTGTGGTAACAAATAACATTGAGTAGAGATTGGTTGACACGTTTTCTTGTTTTTTTCCAGGCTACAGAACATACTCAAACTGAAGTGGAAGAAAATGAAGATGAAGTGGAATATGTCGTCGAGAGATTAGAAACAGATGATGAACTGGATGAAACTCAAATCAAAGATCCAAGTGAGGATGTTACTGGTGAGGTTGAAGACGAAGAGGAAGAAGAGGAAGATGATGTAGGACACATGCAAATGCCTTCTGATGATGATGACGTTAAGGATTCGATAAAAAACATTAAGATGGAAAGAGTGGTGAGTGACTCTCTTGTTTATATAATAAACGTTCTATAAATTCAGTTTGAGAATTGCGATTTAATTGAAAATTAATTCAGGGAAATTGTGACGATTCTTTAACCGAGGCAATAGATCACATAGAGAGTGAATACCTGGAAGAAACGGACCATGAAACTGTACAAATGGAAATAGTTGTAGAGTCAGAAGATCAAAGTAATCCAGAAATGCAAGTTGTATCGATACTTCCCGATATAGAAGATTCTAATAAAGATTCGCCGAGAGAGTCACGCGAGAATGGAAGAGCGATTCGGCGGGGTGACAGTAAATTAGACAGAAAATCTGCAAAATTATTGGTAGATACATAGATAATATAAATAGTATATTATAAATGATATTCTAACGAAAGATAAGATATAGATAATATGATATTTTAGCAAGACGAGTGCAAACAGCAAGGAGATTCGGGAATAATGGTGGCATGTCCATTACCTATTTACAATACAACTTATCAAATTAATTCTTCTGTTGCACCTACTACCACTAATGCTATCGGTGTGCTTCAGCCAGTGAATACAATTCCCATTTCACCTAGTAAAACGATTACTTTGACGTCGGGTGGTAAAACTCTCACTTTAACAGGTGGTACATTCCAACCTGGTACTCAATACGTACTAAGTAAAATAAAGGGTCAGTTTCCATCGATGGTAATGGGTGATAAGAAAACTGCAGTTACTAACCAAGCGGAGGACGCCACGAAAGGCATTCAAATGGACAAAGATCAGATTGCTGTAGCAAGTACTAGTTATCAAAGTCCGAAGAAAGTACGTTGACGTTCTAAACATAGTAATTTTCTTTTTTTGCCTTCCTCGGTTTCTAAACGTCGTGTCTTTTTTTTTAGCATGTACTTTTAAAAACTGTTCAGAATCACCCGGTTAAGAAACCTCGTATTTCTACTCACGTTGTGGACACCAGCAAAGGTTTACCAATTGGAGGTTTGCAAGTTAGCCTTTATAAATTAATGGACGGAAGATGGACGTTTTTAAATGAAAGGTATAATACCTGAAATCAAATATTTCTTATATTTATTTTCTCAAGGTCTACTGTTTCTACAATAAAATCGGTGTTTTTTTATTACAGTAATACGAGCCCGAACGGTCGATGTGTAGATTTGGTGGATAATACGAAAGTTAATTTCACAGCTGGACGTTACAAGATACATTTCGATGTTGACAAGTATTTCACGTTAAGAAGGATAGAAACAATGTATCCATTTATCGAGATCGTTTTTGATGTGAAAAACCCGACCGGCCATTATCACATACCAGTGCTTCTAAGCCCGTTTGGTTATTCCACCTATCGTGGTTCCGAAAGATGAACGTCAATAAAATCAGTGTGTTTATTTCGTTTTTTTGTAAGGCAAATTTAAATAAATATTTTTTACGACTCGACCCCAGACAAGGACACATACTTTTAGCGATATCGTGCAAAGGAAATGAGCTGTATTTTCATATCTGATGAGACTGGAAAGATTTTATTTAAATAGTTGTTAGCTGTGCGCGACATATGGACTGAGAATGTTACGAAAAGATGATTTGATGGTTTAATCATTGGTAGAATTGTTAAATTGTAATATAAGCATCCGTGTGAAGGAAATATATTTTATTTCTTAGTTTATAAAAGTTTGATATGTTCTATTTTGTTACGTACTTTGCTCCAGTGGTCCAGTTCAAATCGAGTTTGAGTCTACTAAACTGTTTTAAAAACGTCTGCGTTGTCTACATCGAGCGATACGTAAAAACACGCAACAACGATAACACGGTAGAATTTTCACGCGAGAGATCACGATAAGAAAGAGTCAGAGAAGAACGTACCTTGTCAATTACAAGATCAACGAGAAATATTTTTGCCGAAATGTCGGGTCATGTTATCTGCAAGGTCTGCAGGTCGGAAGAAGTCGCAATGGTTTTCTATTGCGGTGGTAAATAACTTCTGTCGACATCTTTCGGTGGTGGATAGTCAGATTTAGAAGATTGTACCTTCGACTTTTGATCGTTTCGACTATCGCCACCACCACGTCCGCCTTGATTTCCCGATGCGGAAGTTTGGCCGGAAGAAGACGATAACTCACCTGTACCGAATTTAAAGCTGGCTCTATTTCCGTTCTCGTCGGCCTCGTACCTTCAAACGCATGCGAAAGCAAGAATAAATATTGAGAAAAAAAGAACAACAACAACAACCGAACACTAAAGAAGAAAACGAAAAGATTGTTGCTCACTTGACAGAGATGGGAAGGCCTTCAGGACTTTTGTAAGAGAAGCTTCCTTTTACAGTTCGTACTAGCTCACCGTTCACCAATTTCAACATTTCCGTTTCTTCTCTTTGCACGCCGTCCACCAGTGCGTTCGCCGCCGGTGCTTTCGCGCTCGATATCGGACGATTCCTTGCTTTGTTGTCCTCGAACGGTGTATTCAAGGCGAGGCCACCGGAACCACGAGCGAACGGAGGTGCCTTTTGGTCCGGTGATAACTTTTCACCGGCGCAGTGCCACGTACAGAGTATCACTAGCCAGAGAATCTGAGATCAGAGAGGATACATTGATATTTCTTTTTAGATGAATGAATTCTCTTGGATATTGGAATATTAGCCATGGTTCTCTTCGATACGTAACGAATACAGTCGCTTGCCCTAGAGGTGAATAAGACTTTCGTATCGAGCGGCTCGCGATGACCTCCTGACCGATGGGAACGTATGGTAAAAGTGCGACTTTTCGACTCTCGTGCACATGTTACGTCGATACGTCGATGCGTGCAATCAACGGTGCCTAAGAGAGAGACACTTTCCATTTCATCTATTTGATGTAGCCTTTACTGTTAAGTTAAATCCACTCGATTCGAAAAGAAAAAAAAGAAAAGAAAAAATGAAAATCCTAAACGACTGGTGTGTCGTTCGCGACGCACGTACTCGAAGGGAAGGCAACTTTGCTAGGCTGCGAATTTTAAAATTACTTTTCCTATAGGTTTTACTTTGAGTTGAAAACATACCAGTGATCGAGGCACAATTTTCCGAGCGGTCATTGTCGCCGTCATAGATCAATCACATTGATCACGACACTTTGAATAGCATCCCCCGATAGACACTCGCGACGATATCGCTGGATTTCAAAAGTCAATTGACGTTTACTTCATTCCTTCGCTCTGCCAGCTTTTATATACCCCGATACTAGCTCTGTGCAAGGACGATACTATTTTTCCCCCCCTGAGACTGCGAGGTTGTCGCAGGGGATCGTACTGATCACGAATCTCCTTTGTTTAGAGACTTAACCAATCTTTAATTTGGCTCGCGTCTCTTTCTTTTTCTTCGTTACAACTTCTATTGTGCCCCGCCGCGAACATCTTTGACATATGACCAGTACCTTTGATACAATACGATACAATATCTTCCTTTCTCTTTAATTGTTCTTCGTCTCTGCTCTGAAAAAAGGGTGGTAACTGTATTTCCTTTGCTCGTGCCATTTCTTCATATTGTTCAATGTTTCAATTTCGCTTTATCTTACAAAAAAAAAAAAAGAACATATGATTTTGTGTCTTAACCACTTGCGCTGGCAACCGATTGCGGACCATAACGAGTGACCAGATCGTATACAATAATTCTTTGACCTCGTCGGTGTGACATCATTAGATAGAAATTATTGAGAAGTAATAAATTTATTATTTGTTTTGTCTGCGTTATACTTAAATGTGTTATACCTAAAACTGAGAAAATATTGCAATCTTGGGAGAAAAAGTTTTTGACGTGCGTGGCACGTCATTCCAGCGCAAAAGTTTAACTGCTTGCGCTGGCAACTGACTGCGGACCATAACGAGTGACCAAATACAATAATTCGTCTTCTTTTTTGAATTCATCGGTATATGACTGGATAGAAATTACTATAAGAATTTATTATTTGCTTTGCCTGGGTTATATTTAAATATATTTAAAACCGAAAAAATATTGCAATTTTGGACCAAATATTCTCAACGTGCGTGGCACGTTATTCCAGCGCAAGAGGTTAACCGCTTGCGCTGGCAATTGACTGCGGACCATAACGAGTGACCAAACCATATACAATTTGTCGCTTTCTCTTTGAACTCGGTATGATACCACTGGATAGAAATTATTGAGAGATAATAAACTTATCATTTGTTTCGTATGGGTTACATTTAACTGTACGTAAGACTGAGAAAATGTTGCAATTTGGGACAAAGAATTGTCGACGTGTGTGGCACGTCATTCTAGCGCAAGAGGTTAAAAAAAAAAACAGAATTTTGTCCACGATTCGATTTATAAATCATCACCGCAACAAGAAAAAAAAGACAACTACAAGAGTAAAGGGCCGAGACGAAGATCATGAAGTTACAACTACAAAATATAAATCTGTAGTCGTTGATAAAGGTAAGGATAAATAAATAAACTTTCCCCGAACGATCTAAAAGAGTTTTTCGCATCGAACAGCCGCGACGATGCTGAAGGAGACGGAGAAAAATCCCACGCGTTAAGGACGCGTCGCGTTGCGTATCTGTTGTCGCTGGACGTTGAATTGCTGGCAAGGGACACGTACATGCCTACTGCACGTACATACATACGTGCACGTTCGTTCGCGATTATTTTTTTTTTCTGTCGAGTGCGGCCGTGGAGACGGGCTGGATTTATCGCCATCCGTTTGCCACGCGATTCAAAGGCCAACGTCGTTACGATCGATGTGATCTCGCTCTTTTAAGGGCACGCGGGCAAACAATATGGTCTCTGAACCGCTAATAGGATGCGTTTGCTCTTTCTCGGTAGGTAGCTCTTTCTCGAGCTCTGAGTCGCGCTGACATTTCATCCTCTTATTCCGTCCTTTCGTACCAAACCCATCGCATTCCCGTCGCGTGCCCGGTAGCCCGACACGACGTGATGATCTTTTCCCATTTTTCGTTCAGTCTTGCTCTCGATCCTCGTTGAAACCGCGTTCGAAGATCGTTGGATTCGTTCTGAATCCATCCTCCTTTGTTCGTATTACAGTAGTCTCCAGTTAAGCGTCTGTCGCTATCCCCACCAATTCTTGGAATTGGGACTATCCTTACTCTACCTACAGCCTCGTAAAATACGATACTTGCACGTACAAAAAAAAAAAAAAGATATATATATAATATCGGTATTGATGAAACAATCGACGTTCATCCCCTCTCTTTCCTTCGGTGCAGAATATACTTCCTCGCTCAGAGGCACGCATTTTTAAAGAAAAAAAAAAAAAAAAAAAAAAAAAAAGAAGAAAAAGAACTCTACCTGCACGGAATTTTTTTAATATAAAAAAAGGAAAAAAACAACATTCGTTAATTATTAAACATAAAATATTTCTTAAAATGAAAAAGAGTAATATTTAAATAAATTCTTTACAGAGTGGGGCATAAATAATCCCACTATGCAACTAACGTTTTAAATGAAATTTATTGAAACGCCTCTTTTTTTTCAAAAAAAGAAAACAAAAGGTTAAAAAATATCCCACCATGCACTGTCAAAAAAAAATGTGACAATTTTAAACCCAACCTAACCCTGCACTGTCAAAAAAAAATGTGACAATTTTAAACCCAACCTAACCCCAAAGAGTTAAACTGCTTTCGGTCCTAAACTGTGGACGCTTAATTGAGAACTACTGTATCATAGACAAGCTGAATCTATTCTCCTCTATTCTTATTCTTATTATAGATTCACCATTTCGAAGTAGAGTTTCGATACGTATCGAGAACGTTCTGGTTGGATCTTCCGCGTTTGGACGCGCGATTCTCCTGCACCGTGTAACGATTTCGCAATTGAATGGTTGCTGCTCCTTACGACATAAAAGCGAGAAAGAAAGAATTATTGTCGCTCGTAAGGAAGGCATATATATGCATATTTACCAGCGTTATCGCGTAATTGGCGTATCGTGCGTTATCGCACCTGCGCGAGACGCAACGCGACGGATTTATCTCCCGCGATTTACATCTGACTTTTCCAACTTGTTCTTGTCTCCGAGATTCCTCCTTTAGCTGGCCTCTCGCGTCAGTTCCATTCAAACGTGAAACAGGGCTAACGAAAGAACGATCGCGCGGCTAACGTCTCAATTTCGAGCAACCGTTCGATCGTAAACGAAGCCGTGTATATATGTATGTATATATGTATGTTAAGTAAAACTCAACGCGTTCTCACCCATTGTGTAATTTTACTAACGTCCAACTTGTGTTTTTTTCACTTCGCTGAATTTGGTTGCAAAAATATACGAAAATTGAAAAACCATGCAAGTTAAAAGAAAAAGGAAAGAAAGAAGGAAGGAAGGACGAGTGATGGGTTTGTTCGTTGTACGTTTGGATTTCCATATCTCTCGAACACGTTTTTCTACTCTCTTTTGGTTTTCTTCTTTTTTTTTTTCACTTTTTTTTTCTTTAACAAGACATTTAATTATTCGCTCGGTATCTGTAAGCTCGGCAAAATCAACATTTTGCTGGTGGGAACAGACGAGTTGAAGAGTTCCGGTGGATTCCACTTGTTTTGGTTGTTGGTAACGTCGCGTTTTTCTCGTACAACTCGACGACTCGCACACCGCTCGCCATCCCCTCCCCCAATCCCCCCGTTGTCGTCGAAATTCGAAAAAAATATTTCGTCGAACAGTATCACTTTCGAGTGAGTACACGCAACCGTCCGCATGTAACCAGGCTTTAAGACTTTTTTTTTTTTAACGCTCGTAAAGTGCTATCGGCGTAGGATTCAGAGAAAATTTGACAAGTTTTTTTTCGTCGATGTCACGTCGCGTCAGAATTGATAAAACTTCCCACGAACATGCAACACGCGAACAATTACTCTGAGCCTCTTTCTTTCTCTTTCTCTCTGTCACGCAGCATTGAAATGTTTGGAATGATTCATCGTCGATTGCTTTCGATATCACAGGCAGCGTTAAATTTCGACGTGCGATTTGAACGAAAGGTGATCATCTTCCACTCGAACGAAAGTAAGCGAATTCTTTTTGTTGAAACAAAAGGCATCGATTCTGGTTCCAACGTGACATCGACACACAACGTGTGTTCGTTTTATTATAGGCTCTGATTCTGATCCTCGTAGCACTTTCTTGAGATTAAAAAAAAAAAAAGAAAAAAAACGAGCCATAAGTCGAGACGCCGATCGAAGAAACGTTGTACAACACGCCTTGCATCTTTCATCGTTTGAACACGAATTATCAATTGTAACTTGCTCACGTACCCATTCCCGTGCGCACACATTTTTTCGCTCATTGTAAATAGTACCTTAACCTTCGTTACTCAGCACCCTTCGTACTTCACTTTCCCTCGACATTACGTACAACTCGTATGTATCGAACACATCCGACTGTTTCTCTTGCGATACACAAAATATACTTAGGTATATTTGATGCGGTTTTTGAAGGCCTTCAGAGGCCAAAACATCACGATTTTCAACAAGTCGCGCGTTCTTTCGCCTCGCTCGGATCGCTCCAATTTCTGCCAGTTTTTCAACCTCTTGCGCTAGTATAACTGGTTCACGGACCATAACGAGTGACCGAACCGTATACAATAATTCGTCTTCTTTAAATTCGCCGGTATATTACTGGACAGAAATTACTAAATTTATTATTCGTTTAGAATAAATTTATTATTCATTTTGCCTCGGTTATATTTCAATATACTTAAAAAATTGAGAAAATATTGCAATTTTGGGTGAAATATTCTCGACGTGCGTGACATGTCATTCCAGCGAAAGAGGTTAACACCGAAGGATTTCTCATCTAGAGCAGCGGTTCCCAACCTATGGTAATAATGTTGGTAATGGCGGAAAACAAAAAAAAAAAAAAAAAAAAAAAAAAAAAAAAA